TAACCAATCAAGTGCTGGTCGGAAGAGGTCGTCTGCGTCCGCTGCGAATGAGGACTACCAGGCCGAACCTGTTAGGACGAAGAGCAGAAGAACCCGCCTACGAGACTCAATCGCAGAAACTTCGCTCCAATCTGATGAGGTTTCTTTCGATCAGAATAAATATTACGAGGATCGCTTGCAAACTTACGTTGAAGCCGATGAGTGGATGTTTGACACCGTCGGCCCCCTACTGTCCAAGCTTGGAGTTGACAAGCTGGAGAGTCTTGATGAACTGCGGAGACAAGCTGCAGCCAACTGTTCGAAATCCTCCGTGGAGAAGTCAAGCAATCAGCCCACGTCAGCGGTACATGTGCTGTATCGGGATCTGGATAGTATCGTCAAAACCTGGGACGAAGCAAAATCCCAAGCAATGCTGCAAGATGATACTTCATCGACCTTCCAGGACATGAAAGCCATGGACAACTCTGGCTTGGCCATCTTCCTGGAGCACTCGAGGAGATCTGCTCGCAAACCCGGACTCAAGCCCAGCTTTACGGACGATAAAGTTCTGAGCAAATTCTTGAAGGGTGTCAATGACGAATGGCTCCACCTTCATGAAGTAGCCTTTGCCTGGCTCAAACTCCTTCTAATGCCGGTGTATGGGAAGTCGCCCGTGCGGAAGAACTCGCGCTCCAAAAAATGGCCAGTTATGGAGTCAGCATACCTAGCCTTTCAGTGGCCAGACATGCTCAAAGAAAAGGTGGTCCAAATATTGATACGAGACGACGACTACATCTTCAGAAAAATGCTTGAACAGGCCGAGCAAACTGAACTTCAAATACTCAACCACACGCCCCAAACGCCATTCAAGTATACTCGTGATCATTTCGCTTACTTGGAGATGGCCCAGACAGTATTCGAGATCCACCTCGACGTTTATGCCTCCATTAACAATCCCCACAGTGAGGTCGACCAGGATACAAGACTTGTGCAGCGGGATCGTCTGATGAGATGGAGCATGCTTGCAAGAACAGCTTTGAGTCACCATCTGGATCATGGCCCATCAAAAAAGGATAGCCAAAACACCATTATTCTTCGCCATATATGGGCGTCGACTTTTCATTCCAATATGGAGCCAGACGTTCATCGTGAGCACATACTGCTATGTCTTCAAGAGTTGAAAGAAATTTTGCATCGCCTGAATATTCCAGAGATCCATCTTATGAACAACGCGATGATGCCTGAGTTGTCAGCGGATGCGATCGACCAGGAAATATCAAAACTGAACTCCATGGACTTTTTCATGAAGATTTTCACCCCTGGTTCGGAGGATCCTGTCGAACTCATCGAAACGATTGAGCCGATTATAGAGCCCTCATCAGTTGAAATTCCCGAGGAGAGCGAATCAAATGACCAGTCACTTTCACAGTCCATGGTACAGCTTAAGGAGATGCGCTCATTCTTGGGCCGAGGAGATGCTATGCTAAAACTGTTCCTGTGGCAAAGACTTCGGGATGCCTACCAGGCGATCGACTATCCCCCTAAAGTAGTCTCATGCTACCTTCGCAGTGTTGAGACGATAATTCAGGAACTTCTTGGCAATTCATATCTCGAAGAAAGTAACGAGCACCGCGAAATAGCGCTGATTCGATGGCTCAAATCTCTTGACCGCATTCTAATGAAGCTGGTGACACTGGTCCTTCAGCAATCTGACAAAGCGTACGAGTGTCTTGATATGGAACATCTGAGATCTTCCATGTCTGCCCTGACCATCTTGACAAATCTTCTACACAGCTTTGCTCTTTACGAAGACTCGGTCCGTGTCGGGCAAACACCATCGTCCTCCGTGCGCGGTTCGTTGTCTAAATCTCTGGGAAATTTCACGGAGAAGTTAAGGGAGATGGAGGTCCGCTGTTGGATCTTACAATACACGCTTCTTAAAGAAGCAATTACCCAGAACGGCGATCTCTTCGAGTCTCCTCTCGAGGACCGTATTCTCTTCCTACGCTCTGTGCACAATGCTCTTGGCGTTCGTAAGATGTGCAGGCGGTCCAACAAGCAGTTCCTCAAGTTGATGAAGGCTGAATTCTTCAGCTTGGAGTCGAAGGAAGACTACGAGTCTGAGATCTGCCAGATTCTTTGGGATCTTTACGGCATCAATTTGTCTCCCTCCGGGATTTTCTTGTTTGAGCATGAGTGTCCCCCGGAAAAGCTAGATCGTTCAACGGCTATCAAGATGATTGATTTTGTCTTGAAATTGGCGAAACGCATGAGTATCAAAGACTTGTCAAAATCCGAGCTGAAATCTACAATTGAGAAGATACAGCAAGCCATTGGAACAACAAAATCGTCACCACCTCTCACATATAACAAGCGTATCCTGTCGGCTTACCTGAAGTCGCCAATCAATCCAACTGAACTCTTCCGCGCAGTCCGAGGTGTCGCGGATCTCCCGCTGATCCCAGTACCTACTGAGAGCGCAGTCATTGCCCAAAATGGATGGTATTTCCTGTTGGGCCATGCAGCCCTGACCAAGTTCCGCTCTCAAAAGCGCCTGAATCCGGTGCCGACTACTGATCTTGATGAAGCTATCACCTTCTTTAGACAAGATCTAGAACATGCTACTGGAGGATGGGAGTCTTGGTACAGACTTGCTCAAACCTATGACTCAAAGTTGGAAGAAGATATCACTTGGTCTGCGGACAAGATCAACAACAATCGAACTGAGCTGGTGACCTGGCAGCGGAACGCCATCCACTGCTATGCAATGGCGGTTGCGACAGCGATCAGGAACGCTGAGCCGACTCCTGAAACCAGAGCGACTTTGTCTGAGCTCTACACTGATTTTGGTATTCGGCTCTACTCGTCTTCCCGCGAACCCCTTTCTATGGCCGCCTTCAGTCTTGCAGATTTTACCCGGCATTACAGTAACGAAGAAAGCCAGCGAATGTACCAAGGGAAACCCTTCAAGGAGATGAGGTTATACTCCGTGTGGAACTTGGCAAGATACCTAATTAAGCGCGCAACCGTTGACAAACCCAAGAGTTGGATGTAAGTACTCATCGGCTGTTCCTTGGCCAGCCCAATTCTTACATTGAAGCAGAAATCACTACATGTTGAGCAAGTGTCTCTGGAAGATGTTCAGTTGTGACGATTCTGTGAGAGGAAATGCTCAGCGTATCAGCGTCGATGATCTTCTGGATTCGCTACTTGATGCCATCGATACACTTCCCCAACGCAAGGATTCACGCTCGGATCCTATTTTTGAACCCCATTATAAACTGGTCTCGATCGTCCATAAGCTAGTCGATCGAGGCACACTCACGGTATGTGATCTTTCCCATTTCTCGTATGTACAATCATATTGACTATCTGTTCAGCCAGCTGAAGGAAGTCAAACCCTCATGGCCACCCCATTGGCTCGTAAAGTTCCGCCTCCCGAAGACAAGGCCGGATGGAAACCATATATTCTGGAGGTACTCCGGCGCTTGAAGCATGCGGATAAATCGAATTGGCATCACCGCATGGTTGTTCGGGCTGCACACGTTACATACGACGACACCAAGGACGCCGTCTCGGCCGCAGCAGCCAAAAACGAACTTACGCAGCAGACCTTCACCAAGACTATGACTATCCAGGTCTGGAGGCCGGAGTTCGAGCGTCCTGGAAGACATTTCGTGTATACTACCCGATATGTGTACTTCTTCGTTAGTCTGCTTGACCAACTCAATGACCGAGCCAATCTGGATCAGCTATTGCGTCGCGTGAGAAAGAAGCAAGGCGACTTCATCAACCACGCCAAGCTATGGGAGGATGTCTGCCTTACCTACGCAAAGGTCATTCGAAGAGCAGGCAGCATCAGCGAGGGACACGAGGAGAATGTATTCAAACCAATCGGATGGGAAGAATTCGTCGCCAACACAGCCCGCCTGGAGAATCTTCCCCAGCTGGCACCGGGAAGCCAGGTCCTACTAGAACTGCTACGCGACGCTATCGAACTGAAAAAGCTTAACAACAACCTCATGAAAGTCTCTTTGCTCGAAGACCTGATCGCCGACCTATACTCCCGCCTCTACGAGATCAACATGCCCAAGTCCTCGAGCAAGCCAACGAGGAAAACAAAGAGAAAATGAAAGTCGACCACCTGCTCATGGCCAGCGACGGAGCGGCAGATACCCCACACCTCCGAACTCGGCGCCTGCCTCGGAAGCGCCCGCCCCTCGAGGCCGCACCAAGGGCATCGCCCGAAGAGACGTCCAAAAGCGAGCCGAAACAATCGTCAACCGCAAACTCACCCCACGCGCACCGACCGCAAAGGCATCGGTGCCTGCGGAATCTGAGCCACCCGCTACATCTGAGCCTGCCGCGCCTTCTGGAAATCAGCCCAGCAAGACCAGTTTCGAACCGGGTCAGCAGAGCGATATCCCCCAGAGCATTCAGGATAGCGCCGACGATGAGAGCGAGCTCAGCGAGATCGATGACGAGAAATTGTCGAAGCTCGCGGCGGAGCGCAAGCTACTCTTCCCTAATCTACGGGACCGGATTTCGCCGGATCCTGATTCGGAGATGTCCGTTCCCGCCAGCGTTGATGGTGATGCGGCAGACGACGTTGGGGATGGCGATGCCGACCTGGGAGAAGCTGAAGGGGGAGGCGAAACCACGGTAGAAGAAGGTGAAGGTGAAGAAGGAGAAGAGGGTGATGAAGCGGATCTTGAGCGTGATGAAAATGATGGCGACGAGGAAGGCCTAGAAGAAGGCGAAGGTAATGGGGAAGAGACAGAAGATGGGCAAGATATGGAAGACGAGGCAGAAGATCCTGAGGTAGTCGAGAGTGATCCGACAAAGGAGAATGCTTCGGAACCTGAGCCAATGGAGACATGAGCACAGTGTCTACGCCAGCAACATCGCTTACCTTGCTCCAACTGTTCTTATGTGCAAGTGGCCTATTTGTTTTTATTGTATGACGTGAAGGGTGTTTGGGCGCATTGAACGAGTGAATGGCAAGTGGAGTTGGGGATCATGTATGAAGCCATGTATATTAGGCGAACATTAATATCTGATGATGGTATCTCAACTATTCCAGCGATCAATCAACGCCCAAAACTCCTTTCCTATCATGGACCCAAGGTATTCCGCCCAAGACAAACTCGATCGAAGACAGAAGTTCGAAACCTGAAAACTGGTTGAAACTAGATATCTTCCTCAGGGGCGAGATCCCACTTTCTTGTTGCCATCTTTCTGTGCTTCTTGCCGGGGGATGAGCCTCCGGAGGCGGCAGGAGAGAACACACTGTCAGCTAATTTCAGCTGGTCCATACGACGAAGTGCGCTCTCGATGTCACTTTCACGACCAAGGTGATTGGATCCATGCGAAGGTTCCAATACGTTCTTAGATTTCGGCTTCTTGGTGGGTGAGCGGCCCATGAGTTCACGTTCAAGGGCAGCAATCCTGCTTCGCAGCTGATCATTCTCGAGTTCCAGTTCTTCTACCCGCTGATCGGTAGCTGAGCCGGGGTCCTCATAAACTGAGTGATAGATCTTAGCTGTGTTTGAGGCAACGTGATCGTGGGCGACGTTCTTACCTTGGAATCCACGAGACAACAATTCAATCTTCTTATCGAGATGTTCATCATTGCGGCCAATCTGAGTGCGTCAGCCACAGTCAAATGCCCGCCCAAAAATTGAGTACGCACCTGTTCGTCAAACGCAGTCTGCCACCTCTTCCTCTCCTCTTCCATTCGCTCGTCCATGTCGGCCCAGCATTCCTCACGCACCTCCTGTTCAATGAGCAGGCACTTCTCCTCATTTGACTTGAGTCTCATCTCTAGGTCGGCTCTCATGATTTCCTCTTCAGCAAGTCGCACGGCCAAGGTCTCATTCTCAGAAGTTAATCGTGCAATCTCGGCAGCTGCCTTTTCAAGCTCTTCGCTCAAGGCTAGGTTGGGCGAGTTGCGTCCACTGGCGGCTCCTTTGCAGGAGCCCAGCGTGCTGGACAGGATAGACTCGGTGACAGATGGCACTCGGGGAACGGTTACTTCGCGAGCCAAGGCTGAATAACGTAGGATCTGCGATGTCGCATTATAATCACCCAATGGATCAGCTGTAACGATCATGATCGCTTTCTGCGGGTGGCGGTTGAAACCAGGCGTCTGACTTGAGGACGGAAATGAGTTCGAAAACAGCAACTCCGTCAGCTTGCACTGTCTAAAAGGTACCAGAGCAGTCTATTACGAGTCAGCGAGGAAAGAGACATCATCAGCATCACGGAACCCACCTTCCCTTCTTGGATTTCACTCTGCATCTGTAAACATTGTCCCAGATACATGAGACTCTCATTGATTTTACCGGCTTCGGCCAGGGTAGATCCCGCCGTCTTTGCAGTTCTCGCCCGCTCGGAACCTACAATCGTCAAAAGAGAAATGACAACCCGTTTCTCAGTGACTTACCAGCAAGATCTGCAACAGTGAGCGTGTTTCCAATCCAAGTCTCTTCTCCTGTTCTCTTATTTCTCATCCTCCTCTTAACTTCAAGGCAGAAGAATCCGTGACTCCGGGAACTAACACTGTTAGCACTGGTCCCTGTCACTCTACGCTCGGTCATCCCGACTTCGAGGACTGCCAGGGCCTCTTCGTATGTGCTACAAGCAATCTTGCGGAGCCCGGCCACGACCTTTCTGTCAGGGGATCCTTCTGTCGACTTGTACAGAAGGGGTCTGCGACGGTCTTTCTGGGCGTTTGCTCCTTGGCGCGACATGGCACTTCCTTGACCGGGTACGACGGCAGGCGACAGTAAGTCGAAGATTCGATCGTTGTACACCTCATACATTGAAACGAGGACGATGTATTCGGAGTTGTGGTTTAGTTCGACGGTCAAGTGGCTAACATCCGGCAAACGAGGCAAAACGCTGGGCTTTTGAGGCATATTGCGACGAGGAAAGATGAGGGCAGGAGTCGGTTCCTGAAGTATGTGAGAAGATTGTTTAGCATACTCGAATGGGCTCCTGTCTGTGGCGGTGAGTGAAGGTGCTTTGGGGGAACCTAGGATAATCCGGCTGATTCTCTCCTTGAAGAGAGCCGTTGGACCAGTACGGTAAGTGCGGCGCGGACCAGGGGAAACAGCTCCTTTGAGGGGGATTGAGGGGTTGAGGGACCAGTAGAGGGTTTGGGTGCGCGTCCGGGAATTGATGGACGTAATGCTTGGATTCCTTGCAACGGGCTCAGAGGAATGGGGTACCGTACCGTCATGGGTGTCTCGGCCCTAGAGGAGCTCATGGGGGTTTGTGCTCGAGAGTTTCTTCCGCGATCGCCACTCCAATCGCCATATACCGCTTCAAGGAATGTCTGCGCCGTGAACAACTGGGCTTCGGAGGCATCTGATGCGACTACTGAGGACAGGAGGACAGGACTAATGGAGTTGTCCGGTGGTTTGATTGTTGATTCCAGGGACCGAAAGATAACGTCGAAGCTCATTTGTGTAAGACCTCTCTGTGTCTTTGAGCCGAGAATAGTGTGACTCTGTACACAAAAGCCGTTAACATCTTTCTTTCCCGTCAATCACATACGTCCTTTATCGTCCGCACCTTTCCACTCCCTGTGACGCCCAGTGTGGCAACCAGCCCATCTCTGCCTTCAAGCAGTACACCTCTGACCAACGATTCCAGACCAGTATCCTCGAAGACAGTCAATTGGGAAGCTGACTCGTCGAAAACCTTGGTGAAGCCGAATTTCTCGACGGCACGCTTCCTGGCATCATTTGGTGGCTGTAGTATAATATGTGTTGGAATAGGAGCCGATGGCGCTCCATCGCTCTCAGCATTGTTGGTCTTCTCCTCTGGAGACTCAATCACGAGACAACGTTCAGCATAAGGATCCTGGTGTTGCGAAACGGGAGGGCGAAGTCGCAGATAGACTTGGAAAAGGGAGGCTTGTGAAGGTCTTGATGTCGTACTCATGATGGCGATAGCTGTAGGTGTTGGTCGGACGCCTTTAAGTTAGATGAGGTCGAGAACCAAAGCAAAAGCCAAAAGAGTGACGACTTGATGGCAGCAGCTCTGGATGGTTTCCACAGTTGGAAGGGACGATATAATTCTTTCCTAATCGGGTTAGTATTGGGTTGTCCAGACAACACATCCTAAAAAAGGAAGTCGCTCGTAGATGCCATATTCTTCAGGCTGCTACAATGACATGCATCCCTGTCCCGTCCCAGTAGGTAACTTTCCAATGTGTCCCTCCAGTTCACCAATTCGTCAGAACAAATAAGACCATGAAGGTCAGTCTGTCCACTTTTTACTCCCAAGGCTCGCGAATCGATATGTCTTTGACCCTTTAGCCTGCCTAGGCTGGGTGGCCGTTGGTTCGAGGCTTGGCTTTACTCACAATCCTCAGCCCCGCTCGTACTCGCCTAACTTCGAATCAGCATCGAGCTTGGTTGAAGCACATCGGAACATTGGATAATGTACCAGCCTTAGCAGATTCATACCAACCCAAATTGGCTGCTCGTATTCTACGCCATGGTCAATCGTTCTTGGCAGCTAGTGCTTGCTACTCCTGGGATCTGTTTTATACGAGAAAATGGTTATAAGCCACAAATCAGGGCATCGGGCAAGACTGCGCCTCGACCCAGCTGAACCAGAAATGTCATTTCTGTGTAAATGCTGTAGCTTACTTGCCTTTATCGGATAAGCTGCTACACCTGTTTGGGCACCTCGTTTTCGCCAGCGTGCCCTGGGCTGCGATGATGAATGTGAGGTCATGAGGGCTTCGCATATATAAAGGGCCTCTATGGTCCATATCGCAGGTTCAATATCCTAGACGACATCGTGGTAATCCAAAGCTGCTGCAAGTCAAGTTATCGAATTTCTCTCACTGCTGCCTTCTACCAATTCCTATCAGAAAAGAGTGCCTCTCAATACAGCATCATCATGCTAGAAGCGAGATCACCACACCGTAAGTCCAGTTGGACCACTCGTCATTATGGCCACCACCATCTCTAACATTATGTAGAAGAAGGAAGCTACTGGTATTATGCACCAAATAAAGGTGCTCCTATTGCCTTCGCATTGCTTTTTGCTGCGTCCGGTGTCACGCATATCTACCAGTGTTGGTATGACATAGCTGCCTCCAAGATGAGATGACAAGCACTGATTTCTGGGCCACAGCAAATACAAATCATGGAAGGTGACAGGCTTGCTGCCATGGTCCGCTACACTCTTCACAGCAGGGTTCATTATGCGGACCATTGGCGCTTTCGGTCAATGGGACGATTTAGGCATATTCATCGCGAGTAATGTTCTCTTGCTGGTGGGACCGTAAGCTTCCCTTTCATTGTGCACTGTTCTCTCGCTCGCGATGTCTGACTTTTTTATAGTCCTGTCTACGAAGGAGCCAACTTCTTCACCTTGGGTCGCCTTCTTTACTATGTCCCCTACCACTCGCCAATTCATCCCGGCCGAGTATTTTCAACATTTGTTGCCTTGGGTATCGTGATCGAGGCGATTACAGCGAATGGGGCTTCTCTGGTGGCCAATACAGACAATAGTATCAGCAAGCAGAATACTGGCAAAGCGCTACTCAAAGCTGCACTAATTTTACAGATTGCCTTGATGCTGGGATTTGTCGCCCTTGCAAGCAAATTCTACCTCAATTGTCGTCGTGCAGGTGTCTTGAACAACAAGGTCAAACGTCCCTTGTATGTTCTATTATGCAGCTGTACACTTATCACGGTGCGAACCATCTACCGAACGGTCGAGTACTTCACCGCTGCGAGCCTCAACATTCACAACGTTTCAGATTTGAGTCCCATTCTGAAAGACGAATGGTTCTTCTGGGTTTTTGAGGCAGCCGTCATGTTCACAAATACCACTTTACTCAATGTCTTCCATCCCATGCAATGGCTCCCACGCTCGAACAAGATCTATCTCGCAAAGGACGGTGTCACAGAGATTGAAGGCCCGGGATTCGAAGATGGTCGACCGTTCCTACAGACCCTCATTGATCCTTTTGATGTGATCGGCCTCATCGCAAATAAAGGAAGGAAGGAGAAGTACTGGGACGCTCTCGATGCGAACGAGAAAAGGTCATCCCCTGCTCAAGTGTGAGGCTTTCACTCTCTCTTCTCTTTGCCTCGTTTACCCATTCTTTCCGTCTCTCTTTCGTAATTGTCTGCTCTTTTTGTGTAATACGTTGCACTTTTGTTCATTATATTTTTATGTGTCAGGTCAGCCGTTTGTCTGGACTATATATTGGGTGGAGTATACCTCTCTATAGATCGCATGCTTTAACAATTTATTCCAAGAGAATCTTACTATTCGCAAGTTGAAGGATCAAAGCATCATCGTATTTCAATTTAGACAAAAGGGAAATACTATACCGACTAATTTGTTTCAACTGATGGTGACGGAAAATTAAATCAACCTGAGAGAAGCTGAGCTGAGGGACTGTTTATCGATAACGGGTGTTTGATCTCCCGCAAAGCCAAGGTAGCTTCGAACCACATGGCCTTTAGCTCAGACGAACATTCACCGGTTTCGCTTCTCCCTTTGCAATACCAGCTGAGCAACTGTTAACGGTTGGTTGCCAGTAACCTATTGGTCTTGGCGATAGTATCTGAGCTCTCACGAACATTTAGTTTTATTACTGTTATCCCCGTGGCCTTTAACACTGAGCTACCTAGCTTTGCCCTCCGCAGCATCTCCGAAGCCTCCTTTGCCAAGCTCACCCTTCCCTCAGGCCATATACAACCGTCACGATGTTGTCTTTTTTATCGTCAAATCTGTCTAGCACGCGTCAATCTCTGGCGCAGGTCCTCAATTTTGCGCTGGTTCTGTCCACAGCGTTCATGCTGTGGAAGGGCCTCTCCGTGTTCACGTCAGTACCAGCCTCGGAAGGACAAGTTCCAATAGACTAACCCTGAGTTCGAATATCTACAGAGCGAGCTCGTCACCCATCGTCGTCGTGCTCTCCGGATCCATGGAGCCAGCCTTCCAGAGAGGCGACTTGTTATTCTTGTGGAATCGCAGCCCGCGGGCAGAACTAGGTGAAATCGTGGTGTACAACGTGCGGGGCAAGGACATCCCGATCGTGCATCGCGTCGTTAGAACGTTCCCTCAAATCGAAGGCAAAGCGAAGAAGGTCAAGGAGGTTACAGAGTGCGTTTTGGTATTCCGCTTGGATCTGCAGCGAACAATTACTGACTGGGCGGATCTGTCATTAGGACCTCCTTCGTCCCTCCCAACATGCTCCTCACCAAGGGAGACAACAACATCGCTGACGACACCGAGTTGTATGCGAAGAACCAGGATTTCCTACATCGCGATGAGGATATTGTTGGCAGCGTGCGGGGGTATATGCCCATGGTAGGATATGTGACTATTATGCTCAGTGAGCATCCGTGGCTCAAGACGGTCCTCCTTGGTATTATGGGTCTGATGGTCATACTGCAACGGGAACAATAGTTTATGTTGGAGGTTCTACTGAATAAATTGGAGTCTACTTTACTAAGGTGTTCTTGGCTGAACTTCGACTGCAGCTAGCAGCCTGTGTTGATTCTCCAGCCTAAAAGTATGGACCGACGACTACAAGCTGCCGTCATTGTAACGTGTCCTGTGCCGTGATTTTCTGTAAGAATAGCCAGAGTGGCCGATAATATGTGACTAGATCTGTAGCCCCGCAACGTAAATTGTTGCAGTTTGTCGCCTTCTCAAGCAATTCGATCAGGCACGAGTTCCTCAATAAAAGCATAAACAGAAGAATTATACTGGCGAAGTTAGAAATGATCCACCGCCTACTCTCCGGAACTGACTGTCGTCACTTCAGGTCAAAGAACGCCAATGCTAAACTCCACCCCGCTTACCCGTCACGGCCCCGCCCTGTGAGCTAGCTGGGCTCAGGAGCTGTTACGTTGCACGTATATCACGGGCAGCTTCTTCCTGGGTACTCATCTTTGCTATCTACAATAGGACGGGACCTTCACGCCACCTTTATAGCACTCTATTGCGTCTCCATCATACCCAGGAACATCTCCACCGACCATCCCAGTCTTGTGAAGAGTGGCGAACATGGGTAGCCAGAAGCGCATAGCTAAGGTAGGTCACTGGGATTAAGTCGCCCTCGAATTCTCTATGGTCCTACTTGCTTGCTGACGGGATTAATCCGCTGCAGGAGCTTGCCGAGCTGATAGAGAGTCCTCCCGCCGGCATCACCGTCGAGCTGGTGGATGAGTCGAACCTGTACGAATGGAAAGTCTACATGGAGGGACCAGAAGGCTCACCATACCACGTAAGCTACTACGCGATGAATGCCGCTTCTGATCAAGATGAAGCAGCGCTAACCATCACCAAAAAACCACAGAAAGGCAAATTCCAAGTCAAGCTCGTCCTTCCCACCGAGTATCCCTTCAAACCACCGACAGTGTCGTTCGCGACGAAGATCTACCATCCGAATGTCACCAATGACGACAAGGGAAGCATGTGTCTAGGCATGCTACGGCCCGACGAATGGAAACCCAGCTCGCGGATCTCGGCTGTGCTGGAGTTCGCGCGCCAGTTGCTCAAAGAACCCATGCCGGACGATGCGGTTGAAGGACGGATCGCAGAGCAGTACAAGAATGATCCCAAGCGGTACGAGGAGATTGCCCGGGAGTGGACGAGGAAGTATGCATCGGAGTAAAGGGCGTGGTTGAAATGAAGTGATGGCTGGTGCGCAGTCGTTTCGGCGAGAATCAGGGACGCGGAAGAATCTCGGCGTCCTCCTGCGTGCGAAAGTCTAAAGACTGGGTGTCTGTCCTATTGTCTTGCGTGCATCAGCGCCCCTGGTATCTCGACTGCGCTTGCTTCTTACTGGCATTTACGGTCGGGCTCGGTGGACGATGGACCCTTGTCGACCTTTCACTTTCCACTTATCTACCATCTTTCTCGGTCTGGGAGAGCACCCGGCGCGCTCAGACTATCCCTGCGTCGAAGGCCGGCGCTGCTACGTTTTGCATAAGCGTGCGAAGAGTACGAGTCATATTCTTTAGATACTTCAGCGCTAGAGAATACAGAAGTCAGTCATAGACGACCATGCAGAAAAATGCGCCTAATTTATGCATGCAGTCTCAGCGTAGCTTAACCAGAGTCAGAACCAATTCCGACCAACATACGTATTATCTCCAACACAAATGATACATTGGATACATTGCCGACAGAATGCATGACTCAGTCGGCAGTACCGCCGTTTCGACCCGTTTCGACTCCTCTATAAAAGAAACAGGTGATGCATATCAAGGGGGTATACGGAGTAGAAAGGGCTTGAGCCTCTAGTTCGGTCTCTAGATAGTTTCAACCCATCTGGCCAATCCTCCGTGATGATGCATTGACAATGTGCTACAACCTACAGCCTACAGCCTACGGAGTACAGCTACAGCCTACAGGGATAACCGGAACTGTTCAACGGGAGCAGCCGTAACCCGACGCAAGGTGCGTCACATTTCGCGCTTGGAATTGGTCATTTAAGGCAGCCGGATCAATTTCCACCGGGTACGTACTACTACAGAGGACTCCGTATTCGAGAGATCATCACATCACAATTAATAACTCCTTCCCTCGGACTTGGGTCGGTGCTAGATATGGAATAGGATATTGGAAAAGACCCTTGGGTGGAGCACGCCCATTCTACGGAGCACCTTAGCGGAAGATGAAACGCGAGGGAACGAATGAAGGGTTCTAGACTAGACTAGGCGATTTCCAAGCCAAACCTCAGTGCCGCACATTTAATCAACAAAACAAGATACCGGAGGAGATTGCCTGGAAAATCAACGGGCGTAACGCGCAGTTCACCGTCATCACGTCAAGTTTACTTTTACCCACGGTCTGGGTTTGGGACATGTCGAAACTCGCTTAGAGTACTCCGTATTTGGTTTGAAGGTGTAGAATGAGAATGATGATGGGTAGGTAAGGTACTTTTGAATGTCTCCTGTCCTAGGTATGCTGTATGCATCCATGGATGTGACACCTCCAATCCACTGTTAGTACTGCTGCAGAGCGCAGACGGAACGGAACGAAGGTCGAACCCATGGGTGGGAGCACAGTTGTTGTTGGTTGATTTAATCTGCAGAGTGCAGACTGCAGCCATACTATCCAGTAGTACATGACTGGACCTGTTCGTGTAGCGTGATAGGTAGACTAGAGTTGAACCATAGGCATGGAGTAGAATAGATGCCTGTCATGTCACCTGCATATGAGCCACTAATTGGATGCTGGATCTGTCATACTGCTGAACAACAAGGGTGAGGGGTAAATTATTGCATAACTATGAATGGGTTTATCGATATAACTCGGAGAACCCCTGCAGCCTTAGTACCTTAGCATAGGTACCTGTATCTATCCATCTATCTCTCCTCTGGATGATGGATAGATACCTCTGGTCCGGAGTACATTGGACATTGGATAAAAACATAGATAGGAGTTCCCTGTATCCTTAGACTAATTTACAGCGCTTCCAACTTCCAACTTCCAAGACCCAAACAAGGACGGAGTCTTGCCCGGACCGACCGCCATCTGTTGATATCATCCGATCGTCATCTCTTGTTAATTCGAAACAGCTCGGAAAACTTCATACTTCATTACTCGGAAATGAAGATGCAAATCTAAACGAGCTCATAGGCTTACTTTCTTTCTCCAACATTTTCTTAAATACTTGCAGTGTCTGGTGGAGTAAGAGAAAACGAATTGATACAGCGCTAGACCCAAACGAGGCAGTTTTGGCCTCATTTTTCCCCTTTTCCGCATCGTCTCGAAATTCATAAATCAAAACACCACTACGGAATACTAGTCGACTACCCACCTTACGAATGGGCTATGAGCCTATGAGTGCGTACCTTAGACTAAGTGTCACTAAGAAAAGCACAAGATCTCGTTTCTTTCGTCCTTTTCCAGCTTTCTTCTCGACCCCCGATTCTCCATCCACAATACGGAATCTTTTTTCTTCCTGTCCTCTCCTGGAGATTGAGTCTTCAATTGAACCTCTGGTAGGGTCCTGAGACTTTTGCTTGTCCAATGGACTGATATCATCTGGCGTGGGTGCTGGGGCCTCTTCGATCCTCTCGTCTCTTGTTCCAATATTTTGACGCTCATTTGCTTGTCCCGTTCCGCCGTTATCGTTAGCTCGGGCTATACGACCTCTCAACGGAATACCAGACCACGTATCTGCGATCCTTTCGCTGGCTCTTCAAACTCTCGTTATTCTTTATTACGACTCTCTTTCCTCCTCTCCAACGACCCTCATATTCGTGTAACTGTCTGACCGTGGTATTGCACCCCGTTCGTCATCCATTGCGTTATCGACAAATGTCCAGCGGGAACTGGGTTCTATCTCGTGGCCATGGTCACAGAAAATGGAGAGTTTCAGTGGTCCTCCCGGCAAGGCGAACGTGAGACAGCCAGGAGTCGCAAAGTACCACCTCATCTACGCTTCGATCCTCTAAGAATCCATCCTCCCGATCCTCGTCCTTCCACTGCCGGCGCATCTCGATCTCCGTCCCCCTCTTACCGCCTGTGCCGCATCCTCCCCGAAAAGCATCTGCATATCCTCATCCTGATGACCCTTTTCTCCGCGGCGCCTCTTCTCAAGTCGGGGGAACTGATGAATACGCGCTGAGAAAACCAACCTACCGCACTCAGACCTTCCCTCGTTCACCCTCCCCAAACTTTGCCCGACCAGAAGATGACTTTCAGCGTCCGTCTTACCGAAGAGGCCCTCCTCCTGGCCGACCAGGATTACGAATCTCGATGTCGACGTCGAGGATGTATAGCAGGCGCCCGCGGGGACCGCCGTCTCGCGAACACTACCCCAATGAATCTCCGTCCCGAGGCCTTGCATTACCTCGGTATACGCCTAATGGATCTTCCGACGTCTATTCAGACGAAGCGCTCCGTTCCAGCGTCAATTCGGCAATGACATCGCGATCAAGCATTGAGCAAGCCAGTGGAACTGAACGCAGCAGTGTCTTGACGAAGAGCAGCTCCATAACTGACCTGTCGCCGGACACTCCGGATGGCCCGGGCGAAAAGGATGGCGGGATGAGCGTTGAAGACGCGATTTCCATGTACTTGGATGGGTTCAGCGATGTGACGGAGGAGCCAGCCTCACCGGGCTTTGGTGACGACAGCAAAATGCGACCTATCAGTCCACGCCCGCCTACGGAATTCACGTACGACGATGGACGTAGCTCTGAAGAGAACTCTCCTGACCTCCATCCTTCGAATGACCTGCCGCCGGTCCCACCGCTTCCCGAGTTGACTTCCGTAGATAGAAGACTACAAGATGAGCAGTTTTTGAAAGAGACTAACGACGAAGAACGCCCAGCAGAGTCATCGAATCAGAAAGAGACCCAGGAAACCCCGGCCGTCAATCCGTCGGAGACAAAGGTCCTACTTTCAGGCGTTGTACCTCCTCCCCTTCTGCCAGGGACAGAGCATCGTGATCGGTATGGATTCCGCAAGAAAACGAACTATATCACCCTTGAACAGTACGAAGCTTGGAATGGACCATATTCAGAGTTTGTGGCGAGCCGGAGACTCAAATGGGCAGAATTGCTCAAGGAGAACGGGCTGCCAACGTCCGAACCCACAGTATTTCCTGCCAAATCGTCCAAGATGAAGCGGTTTGTCCGCAAGGGGATTCCATCTGAGTTTCGTGGGGCGGCCTGGTTCTGGTATGCAGGGGGGTTCGATCTCCTCAACCGGAACCCGGGACACTATGACCGACTCGTCAAGGAAGCCATGGATTCTCCCAACAACGACGATAAGGAGCACATCGAGCGCGATCTGCATCGGACATTCCCTGATAACCTTCACTTCAAACCCGAATTTGTCGACGAAGCTATGAGCTCGGGTACTAGCGCTGGCAGCAGCAACCCGAAGTACAGCTCGGTCACTGTTGAGACTCAGATGATCCAGTCACTCCGTCGCGTTCTCTATGCATTTTCCCTTCACAATCCCAAGGTGGGCTACACGCAATCGCTCAATTTTATCACCGGTATGCTCCTGCTTTTTCTTCCGGAAGAAAAAGCGTTCTGGATGCTGCATATCGTGACGTCTGTGTATCTGCCGGGCACCCATGAGATCAGCCTTGAAGGTGCCAACATCGACCTCTGGATCCTCATGGTCTTGCTGAAGGAATCTTTACCCCATATTTACAACAAGATCGCTGGCCACCCTGGCCGGTCGAAGACTCCGGCCCTGACGGTGGACTCTCGGCTTCCGGATATCACGCTGGGACTGACCAACTGGCTGATGTCGTTGTTCATCGGCAGCTTGCCTTTGGAGACGACGCTGCGTGTTTGGGATGTGTTCTTCTTTGAGGGATCAAAAACGTTTTTTCGTGTATCCCTCGCCATATTCAAGGCCTGCGAGAAGGACATTCTTGCCGTATCCGATCCCATGGAAGTCTTCCAAGTCGTGCAGACGGTGCCGAAGAAACTGCTCGACGCCAACGCATTGCTGGAGGATTGTTTTGTACGACGACACCGTGTCGGACAAGGTCGCATAGAGGAGTTGAGAGCCTCCCGACGGGCGGCTGTCCGACAGGAGAAACTGAGGCGTTCGCTGGCCATCAGCAAAGGTCAGCTCCAGGCTGCCACGGACGAGTGGCCGACCACAAGGTCGCGGACGCCTATTCCTGGGCTTGAACGCAAAGTCGCGGATTCCTGGCGTCATATGAGGCAGCATGCCTTTAGATGATTTCACAGGTGCCGGTCTACAGACTGCAAAAGGCCAATCTCGGCCCAGCGATCCACGAGCTCGACTATGATCGGACTCCTTATCTACACTATTAATGTTTATCATGTACAGCGCGAGGGACATATGAAATTCCGTTATGTAGCTATTGCCTTCTGATACCCGTCTTGTAAATTTCCGCCTCATCGTACCTCAGTACATAGAACCGTCCCCCCTGAAGGCTGATTTCCATGCACCAGATGGCGACGCAGTCTAGGGCCGGGGGAAAAAAAATGCCATTTATCTCTTTAACACACTCAAAATGTGCGATTCCATCCCCAAACGTACGTCTGTAGGGCTGCCTGAATAATGCCTCCAGATGCGGGTCAGTAAATTGACACCAGTCAGGGACGATGAACCCGCTTAGCTTACATGGATTCTGCCGGTCAGTTTGCCATTCCAAATGAATCACATTTAGAACTCATACAGCTGATGTCGATCCATTTCATTCGCCTACCTCTTCTATTGGTAGGTCGAGAATTGCTCAATGTCATTGGGAATGATTGGATACCATCTCATCGGGCCGCTTTCCTCTTACTTTAGTACCACTCTAAGCCTTAAAAGTATAAGGTAACTAGGCCTAGCCTACCTAACCTTGGGCCGAGTCGGCGATCCCTTTCTTCATGAGCCTTACCCCCCACCAATCCTATGCCACAGGTGACAGACCCTAGATTAAACTTCCCAAGCCAAACACAAAGGGGGCACCGTACAGACGAGATCAGATTGAACAAGGATAAGAATAGACAGACTGGCTTGCAGGGGCTGATACACACTCAAAAGTCTGGAAGTCCTTGCCAGCAATGAGGTGGTCTTCCTACGTGTAGTGTGGCTGGCACTGGCCCGCCTGACTTGGGTTTTTTTGCCTACATCTCAGGTCGGTAAAAGAGTAAGGCTCATTGGTCTTTATGGGAGTGTCTGCGTCGTACGCGAGTAAAAGTTGTACTACCTCGCTGTGCTCACTGGGAGAGGTGTGTTTGTTGGATGGTATTCCCGTGGGAGGGCGGGGGGTGGCGGGATTGCCTTTTTCTTCAAGGAATATGTGATCATGAGGAGGCGGGGGTTTGGGGCGAATGTTGCTGCTCTAGATTAACTTAGTTGGAAGTGCCTGACCTGCATGGATTCAAGCCAGCTGAGGTACTGTCAACCCTCCGAGACAATACATTCTTTGGCTTTTCACCTCCTTGCATAGAGATAGAGATACTACTGTTCCATTTCCTCAAGCACCAGCACAGCCATTGGCGAAGGTAATATTTCATCTTCAGCCAGCTGTGACAATGGTGATTGGTTTTTCTATTGTATTATGTATGCGGCTGGACTGGTGATTGTACTACCTTACTTCAGCCCAGTCTTACAGGGCCAAAAGTTGTCAACGTGTCTTGGAGAGTTGAGGTAACCATGATCATGCCACTTTTTATTCTATTTGTTTTATTTCTATTGGTTTTTTTGGTCTAGACGGCAACCGCAGCCATGAGAACTTCCAATGCCGCATTTTTGCGGCTGATACATTGGGTCATGTAATCTCGATCGGTGGCGGACAAGCCTCTTAGCATTGGCTCGTTGGCGCTGGAGTCGTGTCGGGGAAGAGCAGCCTCGCATTGCCCGCTTTCGTCCAGAAAGTCTACGGATCCATTCACAAGGTTTTGTAATGCGTCGAGGGCTTGCCGCCCCTTGGAGAGGGTCATCTTGACAAGTACATTCCGGATAGCCTGGCCCTCTTCCTTGGTGACTTTGTAGTCCCCTAGAGAGCAGGGGATCAGGCGTTGCTCTTCTTCCGGAGGCGACAGGCGCCGGTTGTTCATGGTCAGTTGCTCGAATAATGTGAAGATCAGCTCGATCGCGGAAAGCGTGAGAAGGATTGATGAAATGGACTTGTCGCAGGCATCACAGGCGATGAATTTCTCGCACGTCTCGAGAGTTGATGTGATGGACTTCATCGCCAAGTCGAATCGATCGGACCTGTCACGACATGTGAGCTGATGTAGGGTGGATATGTTGACCGCCTGTGTTTGAACGCAGGCGCACGGATCCCCCATCACATCTAGACGCGCATGAGGGGATGGGAACCCAAAGGATATCGGTGTAGTGGGGTCGCTGAGTTGCCGCAAGTAGGTCTCGCCTGCGAACGAGATGGGTGTCGTGAAAGCTTCAAGGCTCTCTGATGTGCCTTCCCTGGGAGTCTGAAGAATTGGGCCTAGGTCCATTGTCCACGTGTCCAACTCATGCGGCGTTGGAAGGCATTCGTTCTCATGTTCGGTCGACTTGATGCATTGGTTGGCCGGCGTCGGCTGGACAGAAGATTGGAGAGGAATATGGCCCTGCTAGCCATTAGAGACAGTACATAATCGCAGTGGTTGACGCAGCGACTCACCTGTTTCCAGCGGGTTGACTGGAAAAATGGACTCGGTAGTAGTGTCGTCGCATCGGAGAGATCGATGTTCAGATTCCCCAGCTCTCCATTGGCTTCCCGCAATTGACTTGTCAGCCATTCCATCCGTAGCTGATGCTCCCTCTCTAATGTCTTCCGGTTTTTGCTCCCTTTGGGCTTTCCTGCCCTGTTTTGATAACCGTAGCGACAATTCAAGCCCTTTGACGTGCAACGGAAACATGGAGACCCCCCGGAGCACTTGACCTTGCACTGATGGCACGAATCACAGGCAGAGCGCAGCTTTTTGTGATCGGAATTGCTCTGCTGGGTGGTCGTAGGACTGGTCAAGTAAGGAAGTGTAGAGGTCATAATGGCGCCAAGAAATCTCAACCCAAGGCGGTTCTTATCCGGCAAAGATGCTTAGCATCTTCAAGAAACGAGAAAACGCTACCGGAAGGGGGTTCAAATAGGAGAGGCGACGCGATGGGGCCAAAAAAAGGCCACACTGCAGAACTCAGAAACACGATGCTCTTACGATCGTCCCATTGCCTGAGTCGCTGACAGACGGCTGAGTCCAATAGCGAACTAACAATCATGCTGACAGTTCGTTGGCGTCCAATCGCTACGACCAACCTGGCAGGCTGGCAGGCTGGCAGCCTGGTACGCGAGTGCTAAAAATGACAGGGGATGACTGTGAAGGAAGGGGAGGCTATTAATTTCCAATTGCATGGCCATGATGACAGACACTAGGATTATGGTCAGCTCCCACCTACAGACGCTGATTGATCGAAGTAGAGTGGTTGAATGACTTACCACTTCTGGTAAATAGTAGGGTATGATGGAGAAGATGGATAAGATGGCGCGGTCGCTTCGTATTTTAGTGAGAAATAAGCGTGCAGTCTGGAGAGTAGCCGAGCCGGAAGAATCCATTCCTGACAAAGATGGAATGTTGGGTAAGAGAGACGAAGTAACTAAAGGGAAACAGCCGATGGTCAGCTCACCTCGTCAGAAGGCCTGGAATCGCAATGGGTTGAAGATGTGGTGTGCTTGTGCTTGTACGGGTTTGGAAGCCTTGGGAGGCTTGGACTTACGGGCTTGGGCTACTTGGCCGCCTAGAGCCCAGTATCTACTCTGTAGGCTCTAGCTCTAGCCCCTAGACTAGGAACGCCTCGGCCGAGCTCAGGCGCTGCAGATCCTCGGCCGAGCTTAGCGGACTGCTTGAGCTCGGCCGAGCTAAACTAACTAACGGATGCGGATCTTCCTTAACTTTGTTTTGTCTGCTAAATGCTGACTATAGCACTACTACTCCGGAGTATGTCCTTTCCTTCACTATTCATTATATTATTATTATTATTATTATTATTCTTTTTATTATTCCGCACGAAATCCTTCGCCCCCCGTTGCTTTCAGGCCGAACCTCTGTATATTCTCCCCTTCCCCCGAGACCGAGCTGATTCCCGCCATAGCCTCCTTAAAAAGACTTCCACACCATGGACTACTGTCTCCCTCATCATCATCCATGCCAACCCAACCTACTCTCGTGTTTCTCCCACTTTGATCCTCTACGGTAATTGCTTCTCAACGCAAATACCAAATACTCCCTCACGATGTCGGAAGAAGTGCCTAAGCACGAAGCTCCCTCGGCGATCAGCCCAATAGAAAACGAGGAGAAAGGCCTGGCCCCCAAACCCCTCGACCGCGTGCCGCCCAATGGTGGTGCCAAGGCATGGGCTTGCGTTGCAGGCTCGTTTCTGCTTCAGTTCTGTTCATTCGGTTACGTCAACGCGTATGTATCTATTCTCTTCTATTCTCTCTTCGTCTCGTTTCTCCGTACATTTGAGAACAACTAACTGACCTTGCGAGAAACAGATGCGGGATCTTCCAATTGTACTACCAGGAGACCATGTTCAAGGACCAAACCTCGTCGGCCTTGGCCTGGATCACCACCCTACAGATCTTCCTGCTTTTCATGTTCGGTCCCGCGGTCGGCAAACTGATTGATGTCTACGGATGTCGCAAGACGCTCCCACCATTCAGCATCGGGGCTGTGTTTTCCGTGTGCATGCTGAGCTTGTGCACCAAGTACTGGCAGGTCATGCTGGCACAGGGAGTCGCCTTCGGTCTGGCTGCCGCGGGGCTATCTCTTCCCGCCATGGCAACGGCGACGCAGTGGTTCTCGACTAAGAAAGGGTTGGCAGTCGGCATTGTGTCCGCAGGTAGCAGTCTAGGTGAGAATAACTACGAACCTCTGCAACCCAAACTCATAGATGGCTAATGACGGATGCAGGTGGGGTGATTTACCCATGTATGCTCCCTCGACTGATTGAACAGGTCGGCTTCGCGTCGGCTGTTCGTTGGACTGCACTCATGCAAGGCATCCTTTTGTTTATTGCCAACCTTCTCTGCTCGTCTCCTTACCCGCCTCTTGGTAGAGGAAGTAAAGGAACCTCCACAGACAAGGATGCTACAGATGCTCCTCCCCGCACCAGTGGTCTTCGCGGATTCAAGAGTTTGCCCTGGGGTTTCTTCGTTTTGGGTTGTTTCTTCACCATGTGGGGGCTTTTTGCGCCCCTCAATTACCTCCCAGAGATGGCTGCGCTTCATGGATATCAAGACTTTGCTCAGTACACCTTGGCGATTGCCAATGCAGGATCTCTGGTTGGCCGGATTGTGCCCGGCTGGATAAGTGACATCATCGGACAGTTCAACACCATGTGCATCGTGACCAGTCTATCCGGCGTCTTGGTGTTGGCCTTCTGGCTGCCCCTGGAGTTTCATACGTCGCTGGCCGGTATTATTGTGTTTGCCTTGCTCTTCGGTTTTGTCAGCGGCGGCTTCGTCAGCCTTGGGCCCCTTGTGTCGTCTCCCTTGCGGAAGACCGTGTGGATGAGATCGGGGTGAAGCTCGGCGGCTTCTGCTTGGCCATTGCGCTGGGAGCATTGACCGGCCTTCCAATCGAAGGGGCAATCAAAGACCGCGAAGGCAACAAATTCACGGGTTTGATGTGCTTTGCGGGAGCAACGATGCTTCTCGGGGGAGCATGCACGGCGACCGCTCGGGTGTTCAAGGGCGGACCGCGACTCATGAAGAAAGTTTGATGGACGGGCCTGGCTAGTATTTATCAAAAGGGTCGCAATGTTACTCCTTGTAATGTTAGAGTAGATAATAGCTTAATTGAAATGAACCACTCTCTGAAGCTTTCTATCTTTACCAGGGATGTTGACTAGTTGGAGGACCATAATCGGGGCCATAGAGACAATTGTCAGAATGAGAGAGTGTAAACCGCACTGCTATTGTAGCTCAGCCAAGTGGGATCCTATTGTCTTGCAAGCTTGGGACATTAGGATTATTAGTTATTCAGGTTTGGACAATGCAAATTTTATATGGAATACATGCTGTGCGACTCGGCTAGGGTGCGCAATTTACACGAGAATTGGTGACTGTAGATAGCACGCTGAGGTAACACATATAAACGTCGAGGATTTAGCTCTCTCTCTTTTGGTATTCAGGCTGTCTACAGACAAAGCATAACTACACATCCCATCTTCACAAGATCAAGATTCATGACAAATTCCTAAGAGACCCGTGTTATCTACCCTACATCAACTCCGACTCCCATTCCAATCCTCCTACACCATTGCCATTGCCATTGGCACGCGGTGACCCCGTGCAAGCACCCACTGGGCGCAGCTCCAAGATCTGAGTGAGACATCCACGAGGGGAGACCACCCGGTTCAGCCGCCATCCAGCCTCTTCCGCCAGCTTTCGGTACTCCTCCAACGTCCGCTCCTTGTTTCTGCACCGCGCCAGCATCCGGATATCAGCGTACCGGGCCCCGCGTCCCAGACGCCCGTCAAACAGGACCGACTCAACAATCAATACACGGCTTACTCCCGGCTTGATGACCATGGTCTCCCGGATCCGCCGAAGCAGCTTGATACAATCCTCATCGCCCCAGTTATGCAGGATCCACCGGAGGAGGTAGACAGATGATTCTGGAATCGGGTCCTGGAAGAAGTCTCCTCCAGTGATCGAGACAATTCTGCTGGTCAGAGGGTCCTCGGCGGGGAACCGCTGCTTGAGGATCTCTGCGGTCGAAGGCAGCTCGAATGCAGCGGCCGTGGCGTCGGGGAACTTCTCCAGGTAAGACCGGATAAAGTCTCCTACTCCGGCCCCGACGTCGACCACAGTCTCCGACCTGACTTCGTCCCATGGGTAGTCGGCAAGCAACCCAGGGGCCTCGACGACGCTACCCGTGCCGGTGACTTTGTGGAAGCCAGCAGCTCTGCCCGTTTCGGCCAGATACTGGTAGATGGGCTTGTCAGTGTTGTAGAAAAGCTCGGTGGCAGTTTTCGGCTGATCGCTTCTCAACTGGTCTGGGAGACGCGAGAGGAGGTCATAGTACTCGCGGGGGAAAAAGTCAACCCAATTAATCCAGGTGGCCCAGTGGTCTTTGCGGAGGAGGTTGGAGAGCCGGTTGTTGGACAACAGGCCAGTCTTGGGGTCCTGCGAAAAGTAACCCATCTCACGCAGATAGCGAACTATCTGGAATAGTCCTTGTTCGTGCAATCCGGTGGCTTCGGCTAGCTGCGAAATGCTGCAAGGTTGGAGCTTCTGGACGTGATCGGCCAGTGCATATTCGGATGCACACAGCAGGACCTTGCTGTTCGTAAACGCTGATTTCCAATTAGTCTCCTTTCGAGTATACAAAGTGTGTGGATTTGTAAAGGCTTACCAAAAACCCCATCTACCAACGTCATATGAGGCGGAGTCAGGGTGACGAGAAGCTTGTCCAAGGCCTGCACTGTGTCTAAGATCTTCTGGTAGACCGAACTCGACGACTTCAGCGACCCTGGAGACACTTCAAGACAGGAATCGAGCTCCTGCGCCAAAGGGCCTTCAAGCTGCGACAATGCATGCTTGATGTTCCAGTTCAAATGCTCAAGTTCGTTTTCCATTCTGAATCTTTGCTGATCAAGTAACAACGTTTCTCGGTGAAAGTTTTGATCCGTCAGTAAAGCGATAGCATTTATTTTCTCGACAGGAACCTATCGAAGGAAGTAGTGTTTATGATACTATTAATTATCAAAGTCAGCTTACGCCTGGCAGTGCTCGGTGGATATTCCATACGTGCCGATTTATACCCCCGGGCCCCCGGGGCCGTTCGGGGCGGCGTCCGGCTCCATCTCACTCAGCTCGAAGCCGGCAGCATTAAGCGGCATTAGGTTTCATCCAAGGATGGTTCTTTCGAAGCTGTACGGCCTGAACATACTTTTTGGACGGCCGCTACAATGAACCTCACTATCACAACTACCAACATCACCATACAGCCGCCTTCTACAATGGCGCGCCGAGCTCCCACCCTCCTCGACCACTTCTACGTTCAACTGCAAAAGCACCCTTCATCAGTCGCAATTGAAGATGGAACACAGTCTGCAGAGCAGGGAGCCTGGGAGAGGATCACATATGCTCAGCTGGATGCTCTGTCCGACATATGGAGCAAGCGCCTTCGCCTGGCTGGCGTGGGTGCAGGCTGTATAGTTCCCCTTCTATCGAAGCGATCAATCGCAATGGTAGCAGCGACGTTGGCTATCTTGAAACTCCGAGCCGCATATGTGCCCATTGACATAGACTCGTGGGGAAAGGATCGAATAGAGACTGTTCTGAAGGCTGTCAACCCGCAAATCATCGTATCAACATCGCCATGTCCGAAGGATCACTACATGTACCCAGTTGTGGCGTTGGAGCGGAACGACTTCGATGAGACTGCAACCAGTAACGGGACTCATTGTACACGAAAAGATGAGGATTCAATCGATAGAGGAGACGATCTAGCGTATATTATCTTCACATCCGGTACGACAGGGAAACCTAAAGGAGTGAAGATAGGCCAGAGATCAATTTCTCGTTACGTTAAAGAAGGGGGCGATTTGCCGTTCAATTTCAACACCGAACATGGCACAAGGGTGTTGCTGATCTGTTCAATTGCTTTTGATGGTTAGTTGCTTGATTCCGCGTTATGTGAGCGTCCTACTGATTCAAGACATCTAGTCTGTGCCGGAGTCATGTTCAACACCCTCTGCAACGGGGGAACCCTGGTTCTGGCCGACCCGTCAACCTTTGAAGCAGCGGCCAAAACATGCCATGTTTTGCCATTGACTCCAAGCATCCTGGTTACACTGGACCCTAAGGCGGGCTTTGATACAGTGGAAAAGATTTTCCTCGGTGGTGAAAGCCCAAGCCCATCCTTGATAGAGGCATGGTCCTCTCCCCGCCGACGTCTCTACAACGCGTACGGGCCTACCGAGACGACATGTACAGCGTTTATGGGAGAACTCCTGCCTGGGTCTCCGATTACTATCGGCTACCCAATCTCATATAGTACTGTTATATTACTTGATGAGGATGGTTTGGAGTCCGTCGAAGGGAAATCTGCATCTCTGGCCTAGGCCTCGCATTGGGATATTTCCATGATCCAGATCGCACAAGCAGCGCGTTTGTCGAATGGAACGGGGTCAAAATTTACAAAACCGGCGACTATGGCAAGCGGACCAAGCATGGACTACAGTTTTGCGGTCGCAGGGACAGTGTGGTCAAGAACAGGGGTTTTTTGATCAACCTCGAAGCCGATGTCGAGCCTGCTCTACAGTCATACGACAAAGTCGACAGCGCATCGGCCTTCATGTTCCAGGGTCAGCTCATTGCTTTTGTCACACCTATATCTGCCAAAGAGGGACTTCGCGAATATCTTGCGAACACAGTATCCTCGTTCCTTGTCCCTGACACGATATATTCCCTGGACGAGTTTCCCACAACAGGCAACGGGAAAGTCGACCGACAGAGCCTAATGCGCATGCATCAGCTGGAGCAAGGATCAGATACCGCCAGACTTGAGAGAGGCCTTAGTGCAGTGGAAGCCGTCCGTAGAGGATTATCTCATGTCCTCCGGCTACCAGAATCGCAAATTCTTCAGGTTTCGTCTTTCCGTCATCTCGGGGCCATTCACTAGCAGCAGTCATGTTAGTTTCGGTTCTGAGGAGAATGGGGTTTGGTATCAGTGTCGCCGAAGTGCTTTTGCTGGATGCAGTGCAAGAAATAGCTGCCGCTGCCACGGAGTTGAACGATATCCCACCTGCATTTGCTACCCAAGAAGATTTGATAGAACGACTAAGGCATGATATATCGACGACCCGGCCACTTGATGAAGGTGCGACGATTGCACCTATGACCGACATGCAAACCAGGATGCTCGGTGCTAGTGTTGCCACTCCAGGTCTTTCATTTATCAAAACATCATTTACCTTTGATCATCCAGAGAAACAGGACCTTACATCCACTCTCCATGCTGCTTGGGTTCGTCTTCATCGGCGCCACGAGATCCTGAGGACTGCATTTGTCTTGACCGCATCAAGTGGAGCCCAGGTCATATCCCAGGACCCTGGCTTTTCGTGGGAGCAGAAATTCGTGACAGAATCTGAGTGGGAAGTAGTTTGTCGAAGCGAAGAGCATCTGGATGTGGCCGAGTTCGCAAACTTTGACGCAGAGAGCCGAGCTTCATTGTCAAGAGTTGTTCTGATTATCGCTCCCAGGAAGCGAACCCGGTTTGTCTGGACGGTCCATCACAGCTTGGTTGACGGATGGTCGATGGCAACTTTGATGCGAGATTTCGCCTCTTGTCTCGATGATAAACCCATGCCGGCAGCACCACAATTTGCTCAAGTAGCGCAAGCAATAGGTCAGCTCAAGGCTGAGTCCTCGGAGAGGGCCGTTTCGTTCTGGAGAGAATACTTAGGCGGATATACTCCTGCTCAGAGGTTTCGGGTATCACCGCCCTCCGATGTCAGCGACTATACGCAAGCAGCTTTATCTCAGAGACTCACTGTTAGCGTATCTGCACTGGAGGCTGCCGCCAAGAACCGATTTGCAGTTACACCGGCCACACTCCTTTACGCTGCTTGGGGACTTCTCATTTCCAGGTACTCCGGCACAGACCGCGCAGTGCTCGGAGCTGTTCTATCTGGAAGAAGCTTGCCAATACCTGGTGTAGAGAACATCGTTGGCCCGCTGATCAATACTTTGCCACTGGCAATAGACACCCAGGAGGCCCTGTCCACATATACTTTTGTACAATCTGTGTTCAGACGGCTGTGTGATATCTCGGAGTTCCAGTGGTCTCCTGTTGCATTGATTCAAGAAGGCTGTGGGTGCAATCCGGCAGAGCTCTTCGAGACGCTTTTCGCCTTGCAGTATGACTTTCCACAGTCCCCCTGGGAGTCAAGCAAGGTCCCTGAGCCTAGGGATATACGCTACGAGGAAGCCACCCAGGTCCCTCTCACCGTTCTGTTGGATAGTGCCGATGGCCAATTCGATGTTCGATTTATCTATCGCCGGTCACACTTTGGTGATGCAATTGTCCAGAGAATGATTTGCCAGTTTGATAATCTCCTTGCAGCCCTAGTTACTGCGCAACCAGACACGAACTTGAGCAATGTCGCTGGACAAATGTTCAACGACCGAGAGTATGAGACGTCGATTGCAAAGCCAGAGCAGCCGGCCAGCGCCCGTGAAGTGCCAGAAAGCCTAGTGAAGGCTATCGAAAACTCCATCCAAGCGCACCCTGACATCTGTGCTGTCGAAGGGTTGACAGGGCATCTCACATATAGGGAGTTTGGAAAGATGACTGAGCATATTTCCTGGCGTCTTTCGCAGCACATCCAGCCCGGGAGCGTGGTCTGCATGATCAGCGACGGCTCTCTTCTTTGGCTTCTTGCCATGATTGCAATAGTCAGAGCTGGTGCTATCTACTGTCCAGTTGACCAAAAACTGCCTCGCGATAGGAAGGACTACATGGTTCGAAACAGCAGAGCAGCATTGATTCTCTACGCAAATTCCAGCCAGGATCCATTTTGCAACGGGGTCCCGTCCCTGAGCATGGAGTCGATCATGCAAGAAATATCTTCATCTTCCGGCTCGCCCATTGCAACCAGTCGCAACCGTCCCAGTGGTGATGATGTCACATGCTTGGTCTATACATCAGGGAGTACGGGTTTGCCTAAAGGTAAGATTCATATCAAATAAGCTATATATTATTTGTGCACTCGTTAATGATAAATTACAGCGGTCCAGCTGCAGCACAAAGGTATCCTAAACGTGATTTCCCAGCCAGAAGGACGACTGTACTCCCGTCCGGGCCAGCGCAATGCGCAGATGCTGTCCCTTGGGTTTGATTGCTGCATCAAGGAAGTCTTCTCCACCATCTGCTTTGGTGCAACTCTGGTTCTGAAAGACCCCGAGAATCCTATTGCCCATCTAGCGAGAGTCGATGCTACGATGGCAACTCCGTCCCTACTTGCAACCTTGGAACCCGCCAACTATCCCAACCTGAAGGTAATCACTGTTGCTGGGGAAGCTGTGTCCCAGGTCCTCAACGACAAATGGGCGACCGGAAGAATTCTGATCAACGGGTATGGTCCTGCCGAGTGCACTTTGATATCTACAACAGCCATTCTGCACCCAGGGAACAAGGTATCAATTGGCAAACCACTTCCGGGTCTGGCATGCTATCTTCTGGATTCCAACAAACATCCCGTACCAGTGGGAGTTAGCGGGGAGATCTATATCTCTGGAGTTCAGGTCACCCCGGGTTATCTTCACAACGAGCAAGAAACAGCCAAACGCTTCCTTGGCGACCTGTTTAACCCTGGCCAAGTAATGTATCGGACAGGCGACATCGGAAGGATGCTGGAGAATGGAAATATCGAGTATATCGGACGAGAAGACAATCAAATCAAACTCCGCGGGTTCCGCATTGACCTTGGGGAGGTCCAAAGCACCATCTCCAAACTAGCCTCAGAGGCTAGAAACGTTGCCCTCATTGTGTCTAATGGAAACCTGATTGCCTTTATGACGCCTGAGACCATTGACGTCAAGAGCTTAGCCAAAAGCCTCGAGACGCAGCTCCCACAGTACGCTGTCCCCAATCGAATCATCGCGCTTGCGACACTTCCTACCTCGGCGAATAATAAGGTCGACTCGTCTGCATTGCAGAGGTATCTGAGAGATCAAGGAAAGGATGGTGCTGTCGTTGAAGACCTTGAGACCGATACGCAACGAGCTCTTGCGGCCATATGGGCTGACGTGCTTGGGCGTGATCTGAACCAGATGCCCATCAGTCCCAGTGATCGTTTCTTTGAGCTTGGAGGACACTCTTTACTGCAGATCAAAGTCGCTCAAGCCATTTCCAAACGCTGGGATATCCGGCCATTGCCACTCAAACAAGTAATTCGCCATCATAGCCTTCAAGATTTGTCTCTTGCCATCGACGAGCTTGTAAGTGACCCGACAAGTACAGTTTCAACAACAATGCCCTTCCTCGACATGTCCCCGGTGGCACGGAACGACCAGCTTCCACTCTCGTACCTCGAGAAAGAAATGCTGCTCAACCACCTCATATCTGGCGGCTCGCCGGCCGGAAACATGAACTTCGTTTGCAAGATTCGGGGTGACATCAACGCCGAAACCCTGGCAGACGCGTTCCAGAGGGTTACCGCGGATATTGAAGTGTTTCGCACCAGATACTCCGTTATTGACGGCATGCTCTTCCGGCAACAGGCTCCAGGATCTGTCAAGGTTCCTCGCGTGGTCCAAACCGGCAACCTCAGCTCATTTGTCCACGGCAGAATCACCAAATCCTTTGATCTGAGCACAGAACCACCAGTAGATGTCTCCATAATTATAGGGACCCCCATGCAAGCCATGCTGGTAGTCGTCATGTCTCACGTTGTCGGCGACGCAGCCACAATGGCAACTTATCTCAACCGGGTCTCCAAGACATACGAGCTCCTGCGCTCAAACGCGCAACCAACCAATTCCATCACCGTATCAGATAATCTAACCTACATCGACTGGGCACACTGGGCTTCAACGCTTCAACCCAACCCCCGAGCCCTCACCTTCTGGTCCTCGTATCTCTCCAACCCTCCCGCGCCACTTACCTTCGCCAACCCTTCCCCAGCACCAGCAACATACATCGGGCTCACCCGCTCCTGGACCCTCCCCTCCTCAATGCACCGCAACCTGTCCAACCTCGCCGCCAAAGCTTCCGTCACCATGCACCAGCTCATCCTCTCCGCCGTCTTCTTTACCCTCCAGTGCGTCGACCGCCGCGACGACATCTTCCTCGCCGCCCCTTCACGCACCGCACCGAGCCCGGCACCGACTCCCTCCCAGGCCTCTTCCTCGACCGCCTCCTCCTCCGCATCCAGCGCTCCCCGCACCAATCCTCCCTCTTCGACTTCCTCTCCTCCGTCCGCGAAACCAGCCAACAAGCCCTCGCACACATCATCCCCTTCCACGCCCTCCGCTCCTCCCTCGCCCACAAACCAAGCCTCATCGACCCCCTCTTCAAAGTCATGGTCACCTACCACACAGCCGCTGACCAGCGGCCCCTTCTAGACCTCCCCGGCGCCGAAGTCCAGCCCATCCCGTGGCGCCATACAGGAGGATCCAAATTTCCCCTAACAGTTGAGTTTACGGAAACAGCAGCCCAGGACCTCCAGGTAGACATGGAGTACGATCTGGGGTGTATAAGGGAAGGCATCGCACTGAGGCTGGAATTCGCGCTTTCATTTGCACTACAGCTTATGGTTCTCGAGAGGGAGACTGCGGATATCATCCAGCTTGTTCAGATGTCGTTTCGCCCTGGTGAGGACAGTCCCGTAGGGCTATCACCTACACACGAGGGTTTGGCCGGGTTGACCAATGGAACCAACAAGACGGATAGTACTACAGGGCAACAAGAGCTCGAGGATATCCTTGCGGATGCAGTGTGTGAATGTCTTAGACTTGAGGCTCAGGCCGTGGACACGGACAAGTCATTCTGGGACCTTGGGGGCAGAGTATGGATGCCTTGAGACTACAACATCTATGCGAGAAGCGGGGGTTAGGCTCAGATTGCGGGATATCTTTGTTTCTAGGAGTATTTCGGCGCTGGCAGCTTGCGCTGTGATGATTTGATGGATAGGTAGATTGTTAGAAACGATTCGAATACATTGTTTATGTCACTGGTGATTTTCTTGCTTCATATCGTAGCACCGTCATGGTATGTTGACAGCGAGGCACACCAACACCATAGTAGCATAGTCCAGCGTCATACTAAGCTCTAAGCACGTATGAACTAAGCAGGTTCCAAGGTCCCAACGCTCGGTTTACTCGACGTAAAGCCCCATTCCTCTTACCTTGTGGCCCCCAATAGACCAGAAAATGCCAAGTCAGAGCTGAGCCACTCCCCGGAGGAAGTATACCACAAATCGGACGCCGCAAAAGCATAACGTAAGGATACCCAGTTTAGCTGTGCGGCTGAGTCAAGCCCCGGAGGAAGTATAGGGCAAATCGGACGCCGGCAAAGTAGACCCCCGAAACAATGGGAGTACCGAGTACCGAGTACCGTTGCAGCGGAGGGTCCGTACGCCGTATTACGGGCCCGTGGCCGAGGGGCCATGCAAGGCTCAGGCGGCTGAACGAGTCGAGTCTCGAACAGTTGGCGAAAGGCGCAGAACACGTGGCTCTGACGAGGGATCACCACGTTCTCGGACCGTATATAGATAGGCCTCGCACGAGAATGAAGGAGAAAGACCGAGAGATCGACTCAAGGCAGCAGTGAACAACATACTGCAAAAGAATCTAGTCTAGTCTTCGTTACACATCATTCAACATGTCGATCGGAGCCGAAATTGAATCGCTGGTTCCTGCTCCGGCGGGCCTCAACGGCATCGCTGCGGGCTATCCAGGCAAGACGCAGAAGGAGTTAACCAACGGGGACTTTGATGCGCAGGATAGTCTTTCTCTTGCGCGACTCACACCGTACGATGTCTTGACGGCTGCGCTTCCGCTGCCGGCTCCGGCTTCGAGCACGGGGTTCTGGTGGCGGGAGACGGGCCCTGTTATGAGCAAGCTTCTGGCCAAGGCAAATTACCCTCTTTACACTCATTACAAGTACCTTATGTTATACCATACCCATATTCTCCCATTGCTGGGACCTCGACCGCCGCTCGAGAACTCGACGCACGCGTCGCCGAGTAACGCGCCGTGGAGGTCCTTCCTGACAGACGACTTTACTCCGCTCGAGCCGAGCTGGAACGTGAATGGGAACTCGGAAGCGCATAGCACCATCCGTCTCGGGATTGAGCCTGTAGGCTTTGAAGCCGGGACCGCGGCGGACCCGTTCAACCAAGCTGCCGTGACGCAGTTCATGCACTCATACGATGCGACCGAAGTCGGCGCCACGCTGACGCTGTTCGAGCACTTCCGCAACGACATGTTCGTTGGCCCGGAGTCTTACGCCGCGTTAAGAGCGAAGATACCAGAAGGCGAGCACACCACGCAGAGCTTCATGGCGTTCGATCTCGACGCGGGCCGTGTCACCACAAAGGCGTACTTTTTCCCGATTCTCATGTCGCTGAAAACCGGACAGACCACAACAAAGGTGGTCTCGGACTCCATTCTGCGTCTAGCGCTGAAGAGTGAGGTGTGGGGTGTGCAGACCATTGCCGCGATGTCGATCATGGAGGCGTGGATGGGTAGCTACGGTGGTGCGGCAAAGGCGGAGATGATCAGCGTCGATTGCGTGAACGAGGCAGACTCCCGAATCAAGGTATACGTGCGGATGCCACATACGTCCTTGCGGAAGGTAAAGGAGGCATACTGTCTGGGTGGGCGGTTGACAGACGAGAACACAAAGGAGGGCCTGAAGCTGCTGGACGAGCTGTGGAGGACGGTCTTCGGGATCGACGACGAGGACGCGGAGCTGCCACAGAATAGTCATCGCACGGCAGGCACAATATTCAATTTCGAGCTGCGGCCAGGCAAATGGTTCCCCGAGCCCAAGGTGTACCTGCCCGTCCGACACTACTGCGACAGTGATGTGCAGATTGCTAGTCGTCTACAAACATTCTTTGGAAAGCTCGGATGGCACAACATGGAGAGGGATTATTGCAAGCATCTAGAAGATCTGTTGTAAGTCGTCCAGTTTCTTGTTTTCGACCTGGATCTGTGTCAGCGCTGACCTTTATAGTCCCCATCATCCACTATCCTCGTCAACGGGCACACATACCTATCTCTCATTTTCGTATAAAAAGCAGAAAGGGGTCTATATGACCATGTATTATAGCCTCCGGGTATACAGCACCTAAGCACTGATCGAGTTCATTCGAGAAAGTTATGACGGTTTTTTCAATTTGTTATCAAGTGGTATCATGTCGTCTTACGAGTCGTTTTCTTTTTTTTTTTCCTTTTTTCTTTCACATACTAGATATGAGATACTAGAAGCCAGAGCATAAGCCTTTATGACAAGTGCCAACCTTCCACAGAGCATGAGGTAGACGTGTAGAAAACGTGTGTAGCTCACGAAAATTGTAATTCTCAATAGGAGCCAGGATCCGTGGGGTCAAAATTCCAAAATCCCTAACCCAAACATCAGCGGAGAGGCGTCTCATCAAGGCATTGGATTCACTTACCCAGTCAAACGCCAAGGTGGGATCCTGCATGTCCAGACTTCCTACCTCCGACAGATCAGGCAACGGAGTTGCCATTGCAGATTCTCTCGATACCGATGAACGTTGTGCAATTGTTTGAGGCGGGACAGTAGTTGAGGAGCCTATCCCGGGGATCGGTGCATTCGGAGGAAATATAGCCTGGAATGGTGACAAAGGAAAGGTAGACGGCGCATTTTTGGCCAGACAGTTCGAGATGATACGGTTGATCACATTCCACATTGGCGTGACTTCACGCCCTCTTGTGTCCATCGTCCTTTTCAAGACGCCCAATGCGCGAGATTGGAGCGAACGGTGGTTTGGCGCTTGGAATTCCGGTGTCTCAAGCTCCGATACGATGTGCATAATGGATTGGAAACAGGCGTGACCACCTATATGCCACTGGAACTTCTGGGCATCTTTGTCATCCGACATCATGTTCAGGCTCTCTACGAGGCTGATTGACTTTGCCAATACTCTAAACACATTCATTAGCTTTGGCTCCAGACACGAAAAAAGACGTTTCTCTGCTCCAATGATGGCACCAAACGTACGTTTGTCGGATTTCAGGGGACACTACGGCCTCCCGGTATTGTTTTGGGGTCCGCAGCCAGAAAATAGACCAGCATCGCCATTCAATTACCGCGGCGAGACCGAGGGCCATGCGCTGGTGCGGAATCTGGGGGTCGCAGTATTGCAGGTATTGAGTTTGAAGATGATTGACCATTTCATCTACCATGGTTCGAACCTCCATAAACAAAGACTGAAGTTCTGCGATTGGATAGAGATTACCATTTCCGTTGACGACCGAAGACTTGATTCTCCGCTCCAGCCTATAGGTGCTCCGAACAATTCTTCTGAAGCAATGAATGCCATTCAGGCGAATCAAATGGCCTGTCATGTCGGTAAACCCAGGAGGTGAGTATGTTTCCGCAGTCGGATGCGCTCCTTCAACAAGGTCTTCATCGTTGATGTTCCGTGGTAGCAGCGTAGTGTAATCCTCGTCTGCTATTGTAGGCTCCTGACCCCTACCCTCTGCGGAACGGAAGTCGAGATGACATATCTGATGCCACAGCCTGCGGCGAGTCTCCACCTGGACAACATCCATATTACTTGACGGGAATAAGGAGGGTTCTCTATGAAGACCTTGCGAGAGAGCCATTCTGACAACAAGGCCAAGAAGAGTCCACGTCCTTGACATGTCATCTTCCCGGGATTGGCAAGTCTAGGGGTTGGGTCAGTACATTAAACATGAAACAGTGGGAACAGGGACTCCTTACCAGAAGTAGTACAAATGCCTGTAGAACCTCAATACTTGGGGTCGTTAGGAAATCTTCTCGCCCTAACCCAAGTTCCACCCCTCTTTGGAACTGAGCCAGGAGGGCCTCTTTCTCTGCAGCAAATCGCATCATAACATTCTCCGCCGACAAACTGTTGATAGCTGAGTAGAATATAGCCAGCGCCAAAGGCTCAAAGGTATGGATGGTGTGGTCAGGTCTGGGCGCGTCGGCCTCTTCTACACACGGACTTTGAGTCCTCGTGCCGTATGTATGGTTAATATATTGGGTGAATCGTCGTTGCAGCGTAGGTTTGTGGACTAGTCTCGTCATCGGATCAACATTGGAATAGAATATTTCAAGCAGCGCCAAGCAATCCTCTGCCGACTTGGGAGACCAAGGCGCAAGGCTATCCACGGTCGAGCCAGAGAACGGGAATGGAGGGGTTGGCTGGTCTGACGGTGGACTATCTGCCGGCGCACCACTAGATTGATCTCCCAGCAGCATTTTGACATCGTGAATCTAGTATTATTAGCGCTGGATACATGAAATCACGTTGGCAGAAAGATTGCACCTCATCAGCTAAGAGAGCATAGTGCAGAGACGAAACCCAGCGAGATTGGCCTCCTTCGGCCTCCAGGAGTAAGGCACCATCATAACCATCAGCTGACAAAGTTTCGCATCTCGGGTTTGGCAATGCACTTCCTCCCTGGTCAACGTCAGAGGGGCTTCCCGTGCTAGTTACTTTCGCATCAGGCGATTTCGAGATGTTACCCCGCCAGAAATTGCTCGCTCCAGTAGTTGTTCCAGCCGTTCGAGGCGACTACGGATTTCCTCTTGGCCAGACCGGAGGTTGGTCCGTGACACTCGATTGCCAGTCGCCACACGGGGGGTTGCCTGCGAGACTGGCTGTGGACTAACATACGTACAAACACGATTGCCTCTCTGGCATGGAGTACAGACGGGTTGTGTATGATCGCACTTGACCTTCCGACGGCGGCATGTCAGGCACGCGGTGATGGTGCGCTGCCGGCCCTTCTGTATACCGCCAGAAGGGCCCGACTGAGGACTGCTAACCGAGAGCCGTGAGGTTGAAGTTGTCGAGTCCATCAGTCAACTACCAGATGGGGTGACAAGCCTTGGAATGATGGATGTGTTCCAGGAAGGTGACAAGGAAGGTGACGAGGTAAACTATACCGAAGCAATACGGTTGGAGGCAGAAAGTCTAACCGCTTGGGGCTAGTATGTCCCTGCGCTTACTAATGACGGCTGCCTCTGCAGGACGCCATTCACAGGTGTATCTAAAATATTATAGACTAAAATGTTCGAAGATAATTGTGAAGTATGCGAAGTACTTTGCGAAATGAATGATGATGTTTTACTTTGATTTCATGGTCGTAGCGGGGTGACCCACTTGATATGCTTTTGTGACCCATTATCGGTTTATGCCTTAGGCAGGCAATAATAATTTTAGCCTGAGGCACCAGCGTCATGCCACTATGGCACTATCCCTACTAAGTACTACCTAGTAACCTACATATCAACTCCCAGCCAAGTCAGATAGATCCTCAAAGTTTTACAATTCCTTGCACCACACCAAGCGGATCCCATTTTAGCTTGAGTTTCCGGAGCCTCTCCAGCCGCTCACCCTCGCCAAAAACGCTAATGGCGGTATCGTCTTCAAAGGGCATGTTGACATAGCCCACTCCCGTTGCGCGTGTTCCGTCTGGCTGTGTTAAGAATGCCTCTCGAATGGCCTTGTTGAGCCCAACACATGCATTGTCCAGTGCAGGGTCGTCGTACCAAGCCAGAGGCATGACCCAATACTTCACTTCTCGCCGGAACTCACCAGGGATAGACGTCTCTTGTCCATCCTGGTCTAGCTCCCGCGCAATGTCCATGCTGTAAAATTCAGTCAAGATGTGAGTCTGGGCAGCCTCGGGGTGTTGAGTAATGAAGTCCATGTAGACGTTGAGGGCGGCCATGCAGGATCCCGCTGACAAGTTTTTCAAGCCAAACGCTGCCAGGTTCTTTCTCCCGCCATAGCCGCATATACGGTCGCTGGAGTCATTGAGGTTAGGGTACGGAATACGGCGGCCAACAAAGTTCAAAGGATGATCTGTCATAGAGGGGAGATCCAGTAGAGGCTGGAATTCGCTGGCAGCCTCTTCGTGCGATCCCATATACCACATTTGGAGAAGAACAATAGGCTCATTCTCAAAGTCAGCCAGTGGATTCTAGTAAAGTTTTCTTGACAGACTTACCTGCTTGTTTGGGGCGCAGAATACCAGCCGCCCCTGCATACCTCCCTGATAATGGACCTTGTTCACTGCCTCTGCAACCAATCCTGCATCATTAGGCGCAAAGACCAGACAGCTGTGCCATGTGTCATGGGTCCACGGGTAGGCTCGGAATGTAGCCTCAACCACCACTCCGAACAAATGACCGCTACCACGAAGACCCCAGAAGAGATCGGAGTTGACTTCGGGCGATGCCTCGACTGCGCGAGCTACTCCGCTCTGGTCCACCACAACGACCCGCATCGAGAGCACGGTGTCTGCGGCGTATCCGACGTGCCCAAGAAGGCGCCCTATCCCTCCTCCAAGGGCAGCACCAATCTGTTCTCATTATTAGGTGGTTTGGCTGAATGGGGAGGTGTCATTTTCCTTACAAGACCCACTTCGTTACATGTTCCGGTAGCGACAGCCATTCCTACTGAACTAGCTGCCTTCACCCCGTCGCCCATAGTAGCGCCTCCTTGTGCAACAACAACCTGTCTCTCCACGTCAACGGTGACCTTTCTCATCCGCGAGAGATCTATGATAATCCCAGGGCTGTCGATTGTCGAGAAGCCATTGCTGTGGCCTCCTCCTCGGACCACGAAGGGCCGCTGGTTCTGCACCGCATAGGAAACCTGAGGACACATGTCAGCCTAGCAGATTCAGAAGGGGACGGGGAACGCTTACCGTTGCAATGACGTCTTCCTCGCTAGTAACTTGAACGACTGCTGCAGGAAACTTGGCCAGATACCCTGTCCAGCGCTTGATTGCATCCGGCCACGCCTCGTCGCCGTCAACAACCACATTGGAGCCGGAAAGGCAATTCAACAGGTCTGATTTGAGATTACTCGCCATTTTTTACGCAGACAAAATCTACAATGAGGAGGTGTAGGCCCATTCTAAATCTGTATTCGCCATCTGATAAATGAATGCTGTTCTAGCTTCGGCTTACTTGGCTTCGGCCCGGTGCTTGTGCTTATGCTGTTTACCCGCCGACGGCCCCAACACACACTCCGGGGGCCGTAGTGTCTCCTGGGAATTTACCCTTAACGATGATGGGGACAAGGACATTTTGGCCATGTCTGGAAAGGGAAGGAAATTATCAGACCATCGTATGACTACTATCTCTTTCCTTCAGATCATCAGATTATATGATTTCCACAGAAGTCCAGTCCGGCGCGCCCAGCGTTAAATCAACCGTGATTCTTTCGTCGACACTTCCTAAATGAGAAAAGCTCGCTAAATAAGGACTTGGCAGTAGAAGCTGGCTGTTGGTGTGATGCTAACGAGAGTCCTCTGCAGCTATCAAGCGTCCATCTATTGCAGGTATATATTTACTTGTTCATACATAGCAAGTTCCAAGTCTCAGGATTCCCTTGGCTCCAGTTTCAAATCAACATCATACAATGCGACCCAGCTGGTTTTGTCAACTTTGAAGTCTCCTTCGACAGCTTGCATCGGCTGAAGGGAAACTCTATACTTGCTGAACATATGATAGACCACAGCCTTGATGATCTTGTCCGCAATATGCTGTCCAAGGCACTTTCTCGGCCCGTAGCCGAATGTCGCGAGATTATACCGGAGCTATAAGACCAATGAGCATTCAAGTAGTCTCCTTAGGGCAGTTCGAGATTCTCACCTGACTTTGTTTGATACCCGCGAACCGGCTTGGCCGATATGCACGGTTGTCAGGGCCCCAAAAAGGATTGCGTATGTTGATGGCGAAAGCATCCACAATAACGGTCGTATCTTTAGGGACCACGAAGTCTCCCAGGATCTTCTCCCTTGGTGGATTCTCAGGGAACGTGAATGCTTTGACTGGGTCAGCCGATATTCTTTTTCAAGCCATGAGCGGTCTAGTAGTGACCGAGACTTACTTAGAACAGGCCGAAGGCGAAGCGATTCCAACAAGCAGTAATGGAGAAGAGTATCCTTTCGAGTGATATACTCTTCTCGATCTGCCTTATTTTTCTCCATCTCCTGAAGAAGGTCATTTTGGACCTCGGGAGAATCGGCTAGAAGAATAATGCATGACGAGATAACATGGGTGACGATGTCCAGGTTAGCGAAGGTGGATTCCGCAATAGTGTCAGTCACCTAGATATACTGGTCAGAAGAAGAGCTCCATATCATTCCAGTCATAGAGTCAAACCACCTACCTCATTTGGTGTCAGTTCGCCCCTTTCAGCTGCCTCCGTGAGAACCACAATTGGCGTCTCAGGGGCTGTGATCTTCCTCGCTGTGTATATCTCCCTATTGAAATCCCGCCATGCCTTCTGGTAGTCTCTCGCATTGTTCCAAGCCTTGGTGTTGAGATACTTTGTCAGCTTAGAGCGATGGATTCCTCCAGACACGACCGCGGCGAAAACCTCCGAGTACCGACGCCCGAGATCCCACAGCCGCTCCTGCTCTCCCTCGCTCATCTTCCCATAGAACATGGACGCGACCTCGAAGAACGGATATCGCTGTAGTGCCTGCGTGGCATTAATGATCATCCCCTTGCCATCTGCATTCTGCATCTGCCCATCGGCTTTCGCAAACCGGTGTATTCCCGCAACATACTCCTGAGCACCAGCGTCGAGGCTATCACGGAAATACCGCAAGGCAGTCCGGTGCGAGAACATCGGGTCCAAGGTCTTCCGTAAAGTCGTCCAGCGAGTCCCGTTTATCAGGCCCAAGCCCGACCCAAGCAGCTGCGTCAGCAGCCAGCCGGCATTTGCCTGGGGAGCCTTGTTATGGTCGGTCGACTGCTGGTATAGCACCTCGACGTCTTTCGGGTCCGTTATCACACTATGCGTATATCCATCCGTGTTAGCATGTCTGCAGACCGCGATCATGTTGAGGAATGAACAAACGGGTATGCGTACACCTCGGGGATACTGGCCGCCCAAATGCGATACGTCTTGCCATATTGCTCCTCCCACTCCCAGCTCCTCGTCCGCGCAGCCAGGAACTTATCTACCATCTGCCCATTAGGGAATGTGTACGCCGGACCCGACATGTACTTCTTCCCATTTGCGGCCGGAATCCGATGAACAAGAGATAAATAGCCCTGTCGCTAGTATCAGAACCACTCTTCAAGAAAAGACAGGGAAGGCAGTAAAACTCACATTAAGGACTGTATCAAACACCACCTTTGGTCCGATCAAAACAGCCACCAACACCAGTACCGAGGCCAAAACCCCAATACTGAACGGGGTGGCCGGCACAGCCAAAAAGTCCAATTTGGTAGATTGAGCGGAATCCATTCTTTTGCTTACTTGACAAATCTACAGAGATCAGTTCCACATGGAGCCTTTACCATCGCATATTCTGCATATTTGTAGTCGTGGTCCGACTCGGGGTTCATTGCTCTTGTTCGGGGCATAAAGCGTCGGCCGTCGGCGGGAAACGAGGTCCCTTAGAGTTAGGGCTGCCGGCTGACGGGCCAGATTATGCGCAGCTGGATTGATATTTGACCTAGCCAGGAAGGTTGAAGGGATTGAATATTACTATTTTGATTTTGATTGGGTCTATTCTGTTTAGGACTGTGGTGAGATCTAATAGGTAGGGTTATCCATCTTGTGGGTTATCACTGTAGAAGCACTGCAATGAGGGGTTGGGCCCTGGATCCTTATGAATAGATTTACGCCTTCTAAATACTAAGTTGATGAAGGGCTATCTCTATTACTAGCCAAGGTACAGCTTAGAGTGATATATCTTCTTGTGATCTATCGAATTACTCAGCCAAAAGGTGTCTAGACAACCATGTCTAGCTTGTAGGAATGATGGAAGCAGCAGGGATACAACAAGGACATAACCACTCCTTTACTCGCAGTGAGTGCAATGAAAGCAGCGGAATAACTACTGCACCAAAAAGGTGCCTAAATGACTATTTCTAGCATAGCAGAGTTATAGTGCATATTCTAGATAACAAAAGACATTTACTGTACATACTTTCATCTTCTATACTTGTCGTGAATCAGGCAGAAAGAAATAATGATAGGCTGGTGAATGGTGGGCCTGAATTATAGGGCTGAGAATCCTGGAAATGTCCACTCTTGGCTTGTGCTGATCGTCCCTATCGACATCATCACAATGACGCGTACTGAAAGGGACAATCGAGAGAATCCATCAGAATCCTAGCTAATCCCCTCTGTTACATCAAACCGGGAATATTAGCAAGAAAATCCACCAGAGGCACCAATCATGGATTAACTCTATCTTCTTGAGCAACTGAGTTCTACTATGACCGCATGCGGAATGACTGTCGGGAGTCAACCCATCATGGATCCATCGGCCATCGTCCCTTGCTGCCTCCATACTTGGCTTGGCTACATGTGACTGGTGCGACATGAATTGATCTTCTTTCCGTTCTCTATTTTCTTCGTCTCTCCCCTCAGTCACTACTTATTCCCCCTTCAAAGTTATGCCATCATGAGTGGGCAGGCTGCGAGTTACTACAATCCCAGCCAGTCGTATGGCGATCCCCAGCCGGGGATTCAAAATCACCAGCAACAGCCCTACCAGTACAACAATAATGTGAACAATAATGGGTACGACCCAAACTATCAACGCGGACCTGAGCCCAAGCCTCCAACAGAGCCACCACCAACGTACAATCAGGCCGTCTACGGGTTTGACGACGCGTTCAAGATCGAGCGACCCAAGTACAACGATATCTGGGCCGGTCTACTCGTAAGTGACTACACACACACTTGGTGAGGTATCGATTGACTGGCGTCTAGTTTATCGCCGTCTTCCTGGGGTATGTCGCGGTCTCTGGCGTGACCATCCATCGGTACGCCAAATACAAAGGCTTCAACGGTGACGGCATCTACGACTCGTCCAACAGTTTTTCTCTCGACACGAATACGCTGGTTCTGTTCATTTTCGTGCTCTGTGTGGCGCTCGCTCTTTCGTATGCGTACTTTCTTGGGGCGCGCTACTTCTCGAAACTGTTCATCTGGGTTACTGGCATCCTGAATATCGTGTTTGCGCTGGCGACGGGCATTTACTATATCGCGCGGAAACAGTACGGCGGAGGCATCGTGTTCCTCCTCTTTGGCGTCTTTGCGATCGTCTGCTTCATCAGCTGGATCCCGCGTATCCCGTTCAGCGCATTCATGCTCCAGACGTCCATTGACGTGTCTCGGAAGTACGGCCATGTGTTTATCGTGAGCATGATTGGTGGTCTCGTGGCTGTAGCATTCGCTGCGTGGTTTTCCGTCACCCTGGTCTCGATCTATGTGGCATATGAGCCGAGCAGCTCCGGCACCAATCCATCCTGCAGCGACGGCGGGTGTAGCAGAGCCCGCGTCATCGGGCTGGTCGTATACGTCACGTTCGCCATGTATTGGTTCAGTGAGTGGTTGAAGAATACGATTCATACCACCATTGCCGGGGTCTACGGGTCCTGGTACTTCTGGGGCCAGTCGCCGAACGGCATGCCAAAGGGAGCAACACGGGGCGCATTCAGGCGCGCAACTACATACTCGTTCGGCAGCATCAGTTTCGGAAGTTTGATCATCGCGGTTATCAACATGCTGCGGCAGGCGTGCTCTGTCGCGCAGCGCAACGAGGCTGCACAGGGGAGTATTGTGGGGAGCATCATGTTTTGGATTCTCGGGTGCTTCATCGCCATCCTCGACTGGCTTGTCACGCTTTTCAACCGCTACGCTTTCTGTCATATCGCCCTGTACGGGAAGGCATATATCCCCGCGGCAAAGGATACGTGGACCATGATGCGTGACCGCGGCATCGACGCGCTCGTCAACGACTGTCTCATCGGGCCTGTGATCACCATGGGCTCGGTTTTTGTTTCGTACGTCTGCGCCCTGCTGGCGTACCTGTATCTGCAGTTCACTAAGCCGAGCTACAACGCTGATGGAAACTTTACGGCTGTCATCATGGCCTTCGCCTTCGTCATCGGCCTGCAGATCTGCCAGATTTTCATGACTCCCGTCAGCAGCGGGATTGAAACCATCTTCGTGGCCATGGGCTGGGATCCGCAGGTCATGATCCGCGATCACCCGGATCTGTACTATCGGATGGTACAGGTATATCCGCGCGTGCAGCAGGCGATCCAGCCGTCTGCCTAGTCCTAAATAATAATAGTCATGCAGTTTGCATCTGTACTTAATTCATTTCATACCATGTCGTCTACCGAAGTAACTATCTCATCGAGTATCATTTCCCCTCATCCAAACATTCCCGCAGAAAACAAGAACAAAACCTAAGTAACAAAATCAATTCTCACATGAAAAACGCCATCAACGCAGTCAACCCAAGCACAACCACCGAACTCGGCACAAGCACCCCACCGCCGCCGCACCCCCATCAAACGTCATCGCCGAGGGGGAGGGTGAAGGAGTCGCCGAAGCCACCACAAAAGACGACGCCATCGCCTTGTGATGACTGGGATACCCACTCCGCTGGGCATCAACGCCAGTAGGCGCAGGGACGGACACAGGCACGGACACGTACACTGACGCTGGTCCATGGACATGCGCATGCTCATGCGATCTAGCCAGTGTACTCGACGCCGATGCCGACGATGAGGGAACGGGAATCACAGCCTGGTGAAGGTGCGCCGGTTGGCTCGACAAGGATGATGCAACAGGGACCACAGCCTGATGAACATGCGCATGTGCTAATGACGAAGTTGGCTCTGGAATCGCGCTCTCATGGAGGTACATGTGCGTCGACGATGAAGAAACGGGGACCACGATCTGATAAACATGCGCGTGCGCTGACGACGAATGCGACGCGGGAATCATGCCCTGGTGGACGTGCGCATGCGCTGACGATGAAGTTGCCATGGGGATTGCGCTCGGGTGAGCGTGCGCGTGCGCTGACGACGAAGATGCAACGGGTACCATGGCCTGGTGAAGGTGCGCCGGTCGACTCGATGAAGATGCAACAGGAATTTCTGTCTGGTGAACATGCATGTGCGATGACGACGGAGATGCAATAGGTACCATGGCCTGGTGAAGGTGCGCCGGTCGGCTCGACGAAGATGAAACAGGAATTGCGGTCTGATGGACGTGCGCATGCGTCGACGACGAAGAAATAGGGACCACAGTCTGGTGAAGGTGCGCCGGTCGACTCGACGAAGATGAAACAGGCACCGCGCTCTGATGAACATACGCCGGTCGACTCGACATGCTGCCTGTCGCAGCCGCTACCGTCGACGACGAACAGTCGCACGATGTATGCGTGAGGATCTCCGTGATGACTCTGCTCCCGTGCTCGCTCGCATCGTCGTAGTCACTCTCTTCGTCAGGGACGGGCGAGACCTCCGTGACAAGGGCGCGGTGGGCCGCGGCCGAGGAGGAGGCAGAAGGGGACAGACCTGGCGCGTACGCCCTCTTGCTCTGGACGTTGGGGTTATGTTTAGCTGTGTTTGAGGAACTGGTCTCACTCTCCGGAGTGGCAACGCGCATGTTGGGGTGGCTGAGGCGGTGGGGATGCGAGATGCGATATCCGTATCCGTCTCTGTCGTCGTCATCGTCATCGTCGTAGTTGTAGGTAAAGGCATGATGGCAGTTACGGTGGTAGTCGTGGTCATGATCATACACATCGTCAGCACCCCAGTGGCCGTCGTCGTCGCAGATGAACTTGTGTATAGACTCCGTTGCTTCATCGCGTCAGTTCTCATCCGTCGACTGAAAGAAAAGGAAAGGAATGATCATACGGATTTCAAATCCCTCGCACACATCCCTTGCTGCACTGCTTATTTTGCTCGGATCGAATGGCTGCGCGCAGAAGCAGTGGAACTTGGAGGGTGAGGTGCAGGTTGGGTAGTCTGCGTCCTGGGCTACAGCAGCCTTGAGAGAATTGATGTTAGCACGCTGCTTTGTTCCCGGTAACTGCAAGTAAAAATGAGAGAGGCTTACTGCGCACTTCATGTGGTCCCTCCATGTATGCTTGTAGGCTGTAGCCGTGGCAGCTAGGCCGGTTAGGGCCAGGAGGGTGGTTGGTTTGGTGTGAACCATGTTAGCTCCCTGACTTTGATCTATGCACTTAATTCAGATGTTCCAAGATAGAGAGGCAGAGCTGGTGCAGGGTTGCGCATGGAAGGATTAATATATCCGTCCTCAGGTATACAAGCCTACGTACAGTAGACACGAAACACATACATCCCTTGATAACTCTATTCCGAATGGAAAATTTTCTAACATACTTATCCATTCTGCGATACCTGTCTGATACATATCTAGTGCCGTGGAATGGAATGGACGTGTAGTCTGTTCTGTTGCATGGGTGCAAGATTTGCATTCTTGGGTGGTGTGGAATGTCTGCCCTCTGCCTCTGCCACGTACTGGCCTACTACTTATACGGCTAGGATGTACGTGTACATGCGCACTTGTGGCAATGATATGGCCTTGATAGCTCGGTGTGGCAGGTGTTGAAACTGGGATGCGTCGCAGAGGATGGTATGTAGACCACCATCGGCTATGCATATCGCAATTACTCCATATATAGATACTTGTCGAGAATGAAGTAAGTGACGATCCATTGACATCAACAACCTTAGACAATATGCTGTAAAGCTTGAAAACATGCGCATAATCAATCCATATGGAGGGAAGCACCAGAGTACTAGGGTATCAACAGCAACGCATCAATCATGATAGACTAAAACTTCTCACTCGTCACGCACCGAGTAACGCTCACTAGCAACCAAGCTACTATCTTCACCAACACTGTAAGCGTCTTTACAATCATATTTAAGCCAAAGAATAAAAGCCGGAGGATACCCCTCGTCGGACCGGGCAGCTTCTGTCCTTCCCTGGAAGAACTAGACCCGTACCGTCCGTACTTCTCCAGATCGAACTGCTCGATCATGATTTGTTTGTTTTTGCTCTTTGGTTTTTCAGGCTTTGAACGTCCCCATGACCAGAAAGACCGCTTGTCATTGCTATTGGTGGGAGTGTCGGACTTGAGCTTGGCCGACTTGACATTAGATATTAGCCGATTGCTGTCCTCGGCGTCTTCGCGTTCAGCGAGCGTTGCAACCAATTTGCCTGTGAACATGCCCCGCCGGCAGGATTGGAGATGGAAGAAAAGTGAGGCGATTCCTGCTTGGGATCATACAAGGCCATGTCCGCCAGGACAGGGTTGGTCGTCTCATCTGAAGCAGCCACGGCCAGCATGGCTGCTACCAGGGAGTCGATGGCATACAGTGACGGAATGACGTTGATAATGGCCGTCGCAGAAATCGACAGAGTCATTGTGCCTAGGTCAAGCGATGCCAGCGGCTCGTCCGAGTCGGTCAACGGGAGGGTAGAGGTGCGTGGTGTGGCCGCCTGGGTGGCGGCCTCCAACGCATTCGGGGATAGAGGCGTCGTCACGATGATCGTTGGGGGCTGACGGGATTTGGAGTCGCTCGATGGAGTCGAGACTGAGATGTGGAGGATCCCCGCGTACTTCGACCGCACTGGAGAAAGGGGTATACCCGCTGCGCCGAAGCCAGCTGCGCCGACGAGGGCGGGCGGCTGCTGTTTGCAGTGGGACGGGTGCTGGAGCTCGTACAGGCGCTTCTCGTTGTTCCAGAGAAGCCTGCAGGACTCTTGTGCAGCTGCTCGCTTCAGCGCGTTGCCTTCCACTTCGCTCGCTTCGGCTGAAGAGAGGTGATGTTGCTTTGCTATTTCCTCTGCTTCGCCGATAGCTAGCATTGCAGCCAGTCGGGAGAACAACAGTGTGACTAGTCCGTCGTTGGGCGGTAGCCGGCGCTTCCGCTCCTCCAGTTTCAGCATCATCACGGAGACACTGCTGCTTGGTTTCATCGGGTGGGCTCTGGCAATAGACAGCTCATCCGTGGAGAAAGTGTGCATTGTGTAAAACGGAGACTGCGGGTCTCCGAATGTGAACGTTGCATGATCAGTCCTATGCCCATCAGCTTAGCCGAATAGTAACCTAACACAGAATGCTCACCTATGCATACGCAGATTGAATGTCCCCATAAGATTCTGCGGCCTTTGTCCATTGGCAACCTCCCAAAGTCCCTTGAGCTCCCCTGCAGAGGAATAGTGTACCTCAAGCGGCTCGAGCATATCGGTAGGAAAGTTCAATACGCTCGCAGGAACCGTCTTGGGCCCTAGCGCGCGGTCAATTTCCGGCTCTGGCGTCAGAGTCAGCCCTCGAGGATTGTGGCGAGGCCGAGGCGTACTGCCCGAGGATTGAGGGTAGTACTGCTGTTGGCTAAGCGGGAAATTTGGATCATAACGAGGGAATATCGATTTCATAGGAATCACCGGAGGCTCAGAGGGTCGCGGAGACTTTTGACGAGAGCCTACCTGGACTCGTGGTAATGAAGGCTTAGCCTTCGGTGTTGGCGAGCGTTCTCTTTCTGCGGTTCCGATCCGCGGAGTAGCATCATACAGCGATTCAGACTCCGGTTCACGTATTGTCTCCGGTATTGACAGTGGTGTTTCTCGGGCTACATGTGCCTTTGGAGGTGGCTGAACCTTTTTTGTGTCCTCTATAATCTGCAAAAGCACTGCTTCTGTCTGCGAGCCTTTGAGGTCCTCCAGCGGTATTGGACTCGATGGCTGCGGCTTTGCAGCCGGTTTCTTGATTCCTTTGCGAAAAGGATTCTTCGAGCCTCCACCTACGGGCGAAGGTGGAGGAAATAACTGAAACTGACTCATCTCTCAATCCGATGAAATCGAAATCGAGGAGGCACAGTCAAGTCAGAGGGATAAATCGCAGGTATAGAAACAGAAGCAGCAGACGCGAATCGATTTTTGAATGCTCGTTCCACGCTGTACACAGGTAGAGCCGTCAATGTCAGCGCAGAAACGATATCAGACGATCCTCTAATTCAAGAGACTCGAAACCAGAATGGAAAACGGCATTGAACCGACTTGCAGGGAGAACCAGGGCGGACCAACATTGACATATACCCCTCGCTCCAGACTTTCCAGGTCGGGTAAACGCCATAAAATCCATCATGCAAAGCGTTAAGGGTCTGAAAGGTGAGAGGCTCTGGCTAGTGTGAAGAACTGAATTATCCTGCAGAATATCTTGGTGGTTGAGATGTAGGCGGTTAGAGTGTCAGCTCACCGGCAGGGTGATTGGCTGAGTGCCTGGAGTGACTGTTGACGCAGCGCTTCGACACAAAATAATCGGCTTGGCGATGTCGGTGAGATGCGAAGATCTGGCGTCCTATTGGTCTGGTTCTGGTGTCGTCTTGAAGAGCATGGAGAATTGAAAGCACTTCGACTACTCAGAAAGGCTATCCCGGTCAGCTGTGTGCTGATTGTCGTGATTGGTTAGCTGCCATGTAAATGATCGCTGAAGGACCATTCAAGTGGCTGGAATAATCCCGATTACTAGTCATCACGACGGCTGTGCAAGCCCAGGGAGGGTGGCAGAACTAGAAGCTGCAGTGTCGATTTACAATCTGGGGTGCTTAGCTGGTGAATCCACACCCCAAGCGTCATCAAGTTCACATTGCCGATTGCCTCTGCAGAAACAAGCAAGGTTTGAATTTGACGCCGTCCAGATACATGCATGCTCCCAGGTCTATCAAATATATTTACAAGTCATGATAATGTACATACTAATGGTCGCCCTCGGCCGAATCATGCACTGTATGTGTGAGTGCCTCGGCCATTGCGATTGCCCCATCCATATTCCCCTTGTTATACAGAAACAAGCCCTGAAGAGCAGCAGCACTTGTACTTCTCGATCGATCGGCTTTGAAGCCTTTCTCGTCTTCTATGAGGCCTAATTCCTGCAGGCGGTCGAGGAATGCTTGCCTATAAGATCCGGTTGTGTCGAGGTCACCATAGAACCTATCCCATAAGCAGCGGACTTGGTAGCGGGTTACTTCGCCTAGACGGACAGTCATGTCAACCCGACCGGGCCGAACCAAGGCTTCGTCGAGTCGCTCGACATGATTTGTTGTGAGGAAAATAATACGCTCCTCAGCACTCGCAACACCATCCAAGGCATTTAGCAGGCCTGAAAACGTCACATTGGCGCCGCGGTACCCGTCCGTATCAGTTTGACGCCGATTCGAGAATGCAGCATCCACGTCCTCCAATAGGACGAGGGTCCGGTTCGGCACAATAGTGAGCAGGTGATTCAATCGATCGTCAGTCAGCCCCCGCTCACTCAGGTTCAAGATGGCAATGTCATAGTCCAACTCTCCCGCTAATGCCTGGATGAACGAGCTCTTTCCCGTACCAGGTGGCCCATAGAGCAAATAGCCGCGTCTGTAGGGAATTCCCCGGTCATGGTACCACTTTGCGCTAGAAACAAAGTCCTTCACATCTTCCACAATCCGCTCCTTCACACCTTCGTCAAGGATCACCGAGTCCAATGGGCGCTTTCTCCGCGGTTGCCCAAATAGTCTCCATTCCGTGCCCCAACTGTTGTAGATAGACGTCTTGCCTTCGTGTGACTTGGCCGCATATGCATGAGCTTCTTTGAACAGATCTTCGAAAATGTGCCGATGTGAGTAGAGTGTTGTCAATGTGATCGTCTCCCATGGCCGCCCGTCTGTAAATCCTGCGACTTGGACTCCCGCATCCGATTGACGAAAATGAACGCATTCCTGTAACGTAAAACGTGCCTTCCAGGGCCAGGGACCAGTGCAAAGTGTGTGTGTATAGCGCCATTCGCATGTTCGACCTTTTGCGTCTGTATCGACAGGTGGCGCATTCCCGGTGTCAGTTTCTGGAGGATAGTTTCCATGAAGCCAGACCTGCTGGCTGCGGAGCGAGCGGCATTAAGTTGAGATTGTTGATAGAGGGTCATCCAGTGGAGAAACCATGGATAAGAATCGTCCTTGATGCTGATTTCGACATCCACGAGCATCCGACGTCGAAGGAGGGCGGCACCATGTCGAACGCCTTTCTGAGCTAAGCTCAATCCTGCTCCAAGACCAGCGAGACCGAATCCCTGTACTCATGACCTGCTCGTCAGTTTTCCGTATTCTCTTTTTATCACATTCAAAATCCCAAGGCTGTAGATCTTACCGCTGTGAAGAAAGGGTTACTGGAGAGCTGAGAAAAAAGGCCGCCATCGCCGGGTTGCTGAACCGCCGCCTGGATCGCATCTTTCCTCTGCTGCAGAATTAGGTCACCAGGCGAGGACAACCCGGCAGTATCCGGAGCTCCATTTCTCTCCATCCCAGTCTACGGAGGTGAGCGTGATGATCGCGAACCGGATACTTTTTGTGGCGGCGCATCTCGAAAACGTCCATGGTGTCTGATATCGGAGCTAGGACGGGCCGAGATAAGCCCGGTACCCCGGGCTTGTCTTGTTTGGTTTGGAGACAAAGTTACCTGTGAAGACCTATTTATGGATATGTACTGTTGTTTGGCTCTTTACTTTTGATCGAGATCTGATAGCATTACCTCAGACATGTCTCTGCGACCGCGCTTAAGGGAAAGATGATATTGCTCTGCCTCCACCTGTGACTTGTTCACTCGCACTTAATACTGTGAGAATGATGAGCTCCGCGAGCTTCGCCAAGCAGCGGCGCGGCGCAGCGCATCGGCTCGGAGATAGCGGGATTAGTGGCTGACATGCAAGTCTTTGCTTCGGATTGATGGCAGTCAAAGTCGCCGCCTAAAGCCGACAGCGCAGCTCGTACTCGTCCTCTATGTAATAATAGGCTGAAAGCTCGATTCGTTTTCTGATTCATTTCTGATTCGTTTGTTGTCCCTGTGCCCATCTGCCTGCTGAGCTGTTCCCAGGCTGGGTTGCATAAATAAAGAGAAATAGAGTGCCCGGCATTGCGCATAAGTAGGCTTGCTAGCAAATGCGCTCATTCTTGCGACGCTTATTTGGCTTTCGCCAGCATCAAGGCCACAGTCCCTCAACGCCCTCAATGAAGCGAAATATGAGTTCATCCACCGCGGCAATTCTCTATGCTATCACTATCACCACGCCTGCCGCTTCACCTTTGCCCGATGATGCGCAGAAAAAAAGCCATCACCTTCAAGGCGGTTTCACGAACCCATGGGAGTAAGACTGGTTGTCAAAAAACATGCTGTAAGCGGTGCTTGAGTACTGACCATCCTGCAAAGTTCATGGAGACCGATCAAAGCAACCATCGCCTATGATATCCTTTCGTGAGTGGTCTCGGAACAGTTCTATTTTCGCCCAGATCTGACCATTTCTTCCCGCATGTAAAGTCGCCAGGTAACTGGGAAAGCCAACCGGCCTGACACTACGCCTCCTACTGTTCCTGTCCGTAAACCAGAATTTCTGCCCAGCCGGGAGACGTCGAAGCTGAGGGCGACATGGCTGGGCCATGCCTGCTACTATGTCGAGTTTCCCGACGGTCTGCGAGTGTTGTTCGATCCTGTGTTTGAGGACCGTTGCTCGCCTTTCTCCTGGCTTGGACCGAAACGATACACAGAGGTGCCGTGCCAGATCAAAGACATCCCTTTCATCGACGCAGTTGTTATTTCCCACAACCATTACGACCATCTGTCGCACCCAACAGTGAAGGAGATCGCCAAACTGCATCCAAATTGCCATTTCTTTGCGCCTCTGGGTAACAAAGAGTGGTTTTCTAGATCGGGAATTAAGAATATGACTGAGATGGACTGGTGGGAAGAGCGGGATGTCGTCCTTTCGCCTTCAAAGCCAGACGCTACGGTTGAAGAAGCAACGGGCGATCTCGCGTCGAAGCCTGCGGATATCAAAGCGCGTGTCGGCTGCCTACCATGCCAGCATACCAGTGCCAGAGGACTCCTTGATCGAGAGAAAACATTGTGGTCGTCATGGTATGTCGAATCTGGAGGTCGCAAGGTTTACTTCGCTGGGTATGTCAAGGGTCCCGATACACCTCTCCATATTTTCAAGGCTGACTTTGGATATCATGCTCAGAGACACTGGATACCGTGCGGTACCTGAACTTCCGGATGGCGTGGACGATCACGGCCCTGAGTATAATTACCCTTCGTGTCCTGCGTTCAAGCAGGTCGGCGAATTCAGAGGACCCTTTGACCTAGGTCTGATCCCCATCGGAGCGTACGCGCCACGCTTCATCATGAGTCCGATGCATGCAGACCCTCATGATGCTGTGGAAATATTCAGAGATACAAAGTGTAAACGAGCAACCGCCATGCATTGGGGTACGTGGGTGCTTACTGAGGAGGACGTCCTGGAACCTGCGAAGAAATTGAAGGAAGCATTGAAGAAGCATTCAATTCCTGAAGAGGGAGTCTTCGATGTTTGTGACATTGGCGAAAGCAGAGAGTATTGATCAACTTACAGGAGCCATCTTTGGACATATGGTCTTTAATAATTGTTAGACTCACGCATGATGGACTTTGGAGTCTTGTGGATACTGAACATTATCAGACACTGTCATATAGTTTATTGTATTTAATTATGTGAGATTTTTGGGCACTTGAAGATTGAAACCCGATTCTTAGAAACTTCCTGTGTCCTGCAAGACGGCCATCAACCTTGCTGTAGGGAGTAGCGGTGTCGCCGAATCTGACCGATATATGCAATTACCGCTACATCCTACTTGAACTATGCATTCACAAATGCAAGTCAAGAAAAGTCATATCGATGCTAGCTTATGGATGTTCAATCGTTTTCTACACAGAAAAATATCATTGTTGAGGTCCACAATGTAATATTAAGATGAGTGAATCTATAACTTGACCTATTTCTACTTGATGTACTGTGTGATTGGTCTCCTTCTCTATTCAATGGTAAGCGCCATGGAACACAAAGATAATAGTGAATAGAAATGTATATTGATCCTCATACAGAATGATTAGTTCACTGCGTCTGATGCCTGAGGACGTTCTTAGGGACTATAAAACACCCCAGCAAACAGCTTCATCTGGAATCACTTAACAGCTCAACACACTCGAAGCATACTCTGCGTCTTCCCAAATCATCTTTCAAGTCCTAAGACATATCTATACCTCGTTTTAATCATGCCAATCTACATCCCTCTGGCTCCTCCCAGGCTCCAAACCGAGTTCAACTACAACTACAACATCGGCTACAACACAATGCAGTGGAGAAGCAACGGACAGACACCACGAGTAGCTGCTTACGACACCGAAGACGAGGAAGAAGTCGTTTATGACCTTGACGAACACGCCATGGCCTGCCTACCACATCACCTGCAGCAGGTAATGCGAGAGCTTCACATGGAGCGCCTGGAACGTCTGCACCGCGAGAACCCTTACTTCAAATTCCACAGCCCAGTCGATAATCGCAACAGGCATGCTTCTGCGTGGCTCGATAGCGTGGTGTCGCAACTCGTGGAGAGGCGGTCAACGCACGGAGCAGGACATCATCACCAAGTTGGAGAGACACCAGATGTACGTCTTCAACAGATACTCTGTGGTGAAAGGCAAAGACAAACTACGGCAGAACCACGACATACACTCGGCGATACGGTCAGCCAGGCACGAATCGCGTCCAGAACCCCGGAATCAGACGTCACCTATCACGAGGAGGAGATAGTTGCAGGCGCAGGTGTCGAAACGGAACACGACTCATCTCCGATCCAGGAGTACTTTGGGGAGCGGGATGATAAGACTCGAACTCACATCAGATATGCAACTTGGTACGGAGGTCAGCCCCTGGAAGAAAGGTCGGGCAGTCCCGAGTTTCGCAGGAGACGATCACCAGTCATCTTGGAAATGCGAAGTCGACTTCAGAGGAAGATTGGGAGGATGAGCAGATTCTTCAAGAGATATTCCGTTGCGTGAAAAGACTGGCGTACACATTCGGTACCCACGACTGTGCTAAGCTATCTTCTTGCATCCTGCTCAGTATTGGAAACATGACAATAATGATACCCAGTGTTGTTAATAACAGGGAACTTGACCGAAACTTGTTGCTTAGGTCGTTATTTGGCGGGGAGTCGATAATCATGCCATAGGCTTACTGACTATGTCTTCTGGGAATCTTACGGATTTGGAGGATCAATGTTTTAAATCGGCGTTGCTTTAGGAATCAAGTCGAAATGATTCAGTCTCTGTTTATCTAATTTCTACATGATTTGCTTGATAGCTCAGGGGAAACTGCTGACGAACTAAGCCCAAAATAGATTAGGGGGCGGTGAGCTTCAATCCCACTTCGCGGTGCGCTGGAAATTTGATGGTGGTGCGGGCACAACTCTACGTCTTCAAGCTCAGCAGGCCCATCGTTCGGCTGCTTTTAAATCGTGTTTGGGACAGTGATATTTGTCGCTCTATTGAACTCCATTACTTGAAGTGTCTCGCCGAAGTAACCCGAAAACACCGCTAAGATGCAGGCCCCAGTGGTGGTGATGAGTATGTTATTAAATCCCGTCTACCCTCACGCTCCTTTCAGACCGCTAAGCGTGCATTTTAGACACCAATGCTGGTGACAGACAGGTCGGCCGTAAAGCACAGCTTTCGAATATTACCGCTGCGAAGACGTACGTGTGACATTCGACAGATATACCCGCTCCGATGCTAATAGGGACCATGTGTAGCGTTGCGGACATTATCCGGTCATGTCTTGGACCCAAGGCCATGTTGAAGATGCTCCTGGATCCTATGGGGGGTATCGTTCTGACAAACGATGGACATGCTATCCTGAGAGAGATCGAGGTGTCGCACCCCGCAGCGAAGAGCATGATCGAGCTCAGTCGCACTCAGGACGAGGAAGTCGGAGACGGAACGACGACCGTCATCATCCTAGGTATTTTTTACTGTCGGTCATTCACTTGAAATTGCGACTGACATTCCTCAGCTGGTGAAATGCTTGCCCAGGCCCTTCCTCAACTCGAACGCAACATCCACCCCGTCGTTATCATTCAGGCTTTTAAGCGTGCTCTTGCCGACGCTCTTGCTATCGTGGAGGAAGTCTCGCTACCCGTGGATATTGACGATGATAAGGCGATGTACACGTTGATCCAGTCGTCCATCGGAACCAAGTTCGTCTCCCGGTGGTCGGAACTGATGTGCAACCTTGCGTTGAAGGCGGTTCGGACTGTTTCGTTCGATGCTGGTGGTGGAAAGAGGGAAGTCGACATCAAGCGTTATGCTCGTATTGAGAAGATTCCTGGTGGACAGATTGAAGACAGCGAGGTTATCGACGGTGTGATGATCAACAAGGACATTACTCACCCCAAGATGCGGAGAAGGATAGAGAATCCTCGAATCATCTTGCTCGATTGCCCACTCGAATACAAGAAGGGAGAGTCTCAGACAAACATCGAGATCAGCAAGGAGGATGACTGGAACCGTATTCTTCAGATTGAGGAGGAGCAAGTGAAGCACATGTGTGACGCTATCCTGGCCCTGAAGCCCGATATTGTTTTCACCGAGAAGGGTGTTTCAGGTAAGCCTTTCGCAGCTGCTCTACTACGTCCGATGGCCGACTGACTGACAATTCTGCTCAGATCTTGCCCAGCACTTCCTGGTGAAGGCGAATGTAACAGCGATTCGCCGTGTAAGAAAGACCGATAACAACCGTATTGCGAGAGCCACCGGTGCCACAATTGTCAACCGTGTCGATGACCTGCAGGAGTCCGACGTGGGAACGAGATGCGGGCTTTTCGAGATCGAAAAGATTGGTGACGAATACTTCACATTCCTTCGGAAATGCCAGGACCCCAAGGCCTGCACGATTTTGCTGCGTGGTCCCTCCAAGGACATCTTGAACGAAATCGAACGAAACCTGCAGGATGCTATGTCCGTTGCCAGAAACGTCATCTTCCACCCACGGCTGTGCCCTGGCGGTGGTGCGATCGAGATGGCGGTGTCGGTCAAGTTGAGTCAACTCGCAAAGTCCATCGAAGGTGTTCAACAATGGCCCTACAAGGCTGTGGCGGATGCTATGGAGGTTATTCCCCGGACATTAGCACAGAACGCCGGTGCCAGCCCTATCCGTGTCCTCACACGCTTGAGAGCTAAGCATGTCGAGGGTCAGCACACCTGGGGTCTGGATGGTGACTCGGGTAACCTCGTCGATATGAAGGAGTATGGCGTCTGGGAACCCGAAGCGGTCAAACTCCAGAGCATCAAGACGGCAGTTGAGGTACGCCCTAGAAAATCTCCCATTTGCAAGTGTATCGAACTAACATTCCATAGTCTGCCTGTCTTCTGCTCCGCGTTGACGACATCTGCAGTGGTAAGTCTGCACAGCAGGCAGGTGGTGCTCACATGCCCGGTGGAGATGATTAGGAGGCCCAATTCTTCGAATAAAAATGCGTACATAATGCTACACGATTCAACTCCGAAACTGTACGAATATCCTTCTAGACTAAAATTACATGGGTATCTTCATAGTGTCCACCTGGTAGGGATCGTTTCTCGGCGAACGTCCGTCAATCACAGCTAGCAGCCTTGTAGGCTCAATCCTCGTGAATGATCACTCCTGGTGTTTCAGTAGACTGATCGGCCCCATCCACGAGCATCGCCTGATCCTCCTCGTCTCCTTGGCCGTTTTCTGTCCGCCTTAATGCCTGTTCAACTGCCATCCTATTAGGCCCTTTATTGGCGACCGCAGCATCCTGATCTTTGTTATTGTTATTGTTGTTGTTATTGCTCTTCTTCTTCGCAGCATTCCTCTTCTCTCTTCTCCTCCGATTCTTCTCTGTTTTCTCTTCATCCTTCCGCCTCGCTTCTTCTCTCTTCTGTTCCCAATCCTTATCCTCTTTCTCTTTCTCGACCTCACTCTGCATCAAGCGCAGACGCTCGTATTCCCTCCTGCGACTCGCCTTGTAGACGTGGAATTCCCCGGAGCCCGCACCAGCCGAAGAACCCTGGACATTCGCAACAATCTCTGGCGGGGGAGCAAGTGAGTCTGCGGTTCGTTGTTTCGACGGTTCGGGGATTTTTATTTCTTTATTTGGGTCGCGGAAGAGATGCTCGATTTGCGATGCTTGCTCGCTGAGCGGGGTGACTGCGCGACGTTTGACGGGTCTCTTGCTGCGCGGATCTGCGCTTGTAGGGATAGACTCGGGGCCTGGCTCTGACATGATTGAATTGTAAAATCGGTAGAATTCAAGAAAGGGGGTGGTTTTGGTTGGTGATGAGCTGGAGGGAGGTCGTCGCCCGGAGTAGTCTGGTCGATTTCTGACGTAAGGTGCAGGTGCTGGAACTTTTGCGCGAAAGATGACGTTCGGAACTTCAGCTTCCGGGAGCAAACTCAATTGTTCGCAGACACAGCCAAGGAATATCTTTGTATGTCCAGGCGATCAAGACCAGGCGACTATTTGAGTTGAGGAAGAAGTCGTCAGGCGACTCGCGGATAAATTTGAGCGGTGAGATGGATGCCTCTTTTATGTCTGAGGTGCTTATAAGGCCTCAGATCCGCTTGTACCTCTCAACTCGCGCCAATTTTCCGATGCCCCTCTCTAGCTTGGGTGGGTAGCTGTAAAATATGGATCTGCTGGAAATGACAAAAGGACAAAAAGTTCCTGTCCAAACAATTTGCTGTAGCAATCAACGGCCAGAACACAACCTCTCTGAGTACAGGTCATAATAATCGGGAAGTAGATGCATGTACTTGCAGAAACCTGAGGCCAGCTAGCGCATGTGATAACCTCAGATATCTATTATTGTTGATTGTTTCCCCCCATCTCAAAGAACACTGAGTCTCCTGGTTTGCTCTGTACACCTTCGCCATCTATTCTTACTGCTTCCTGTTTTGACCTTTACTATTTCTTTGGGGTCTTCCGGTTTTCACACCCTATGCAGCTCTTATTCTTAGCATAGACGTTGACATTCGCTGATTCCCCCGCACATCGAGTCCCTCCTTATCTTCATGATCTCTCACTCTCATTACAATGTCTCCTAGGACAATGTCTACTGAAGCTCCCAGTCAGGGCAATAGGAGGGTCAGCACTACTATCAGTGTCATATTTTCTGTCAAAAGACTTCTGGAACTCACAAATGCCTCCTAGCTGGACCTTAACGACCTATGTCGTCTCAAATCAAAGCCCTCGCTGTTGGGTATTGTCAATGTGAGTGGCCAAGGTGGAACTGTAGAATGACCAGTAAACTAACGCGGCCATGAGTAGAGAACTCACCACGATGTATTTCAGACCGATTTTACCTTATTTCTTCGGATACTGTTGGCTGACAAGGTGTTTCCCCTTCTCAGATTGATAGCCACCAGCCTCTGGGTGATGTCTTGATAGTCTCGTACTCTTCAGTGCCTGAAAAAGACTTGCTCGAGTTTCTAGAGACTGGCGCCGTATGTTATTTGTCGAGCTCAACATAGCTCAAAGGCTAATTTCTTGAAGCCGCCCAAAGGCTATGTCTATGTCAACTTTTCGGAACCCTCGCAAGGAAACTCTCTTCTGCACGAGGATGATCTTGAACTTATTGATCGAGCATTAGGCACTGGCGAGATTGTCAAACGACATCTGGATGACACTCTTAGCGGTACAGTCATTGGCGCTGCTGTGACCTGTACGCTTGAGCCCATCGCATATCGAAAGACTGACCCCATGACAGGGGAAGAGGGACCGCTGCAGTTTGCCGAAAAATCTATCAAACGTGGCAATCCTCCAGGATCCATAGAAGAGGAATCGACTCCCCCTCTGCTCCATAATGTCCCATTGTCAGAGCTTCAGAATTACGAGGAGTTCACTGAGGGTGACTACATAGTTTATGAACAAAAGTTGGGAGTTGTGCGTGAGGTTGAGCGCGATGCAGTCGTCCTTCTTCAAAACCAGAAAGTTGTGTCACCTCTGGATCCCTTTGCTTTGGAAATTCCTATGACTGTCGGTACCGACAACGTTGTATCATGGCCAAGCAACCAGGATGCCATGAGGTCATATCCTCTACCCAACGGCGAGTACCTGTGGACCGTGGAATCAGAGTTTGTCTTTCCTGGGCAATTTACCCTGACATCATCGAAGAACTTGGATCGAGGAGACTGGTCTTTGGAAATGGGCTTAAGGTCACAACCAGAAGGTCATGTCCTAGCGACTCCTGCCATGAATATTCACGTGGAGTGGCTCTGCCCCAATGTCTATGGTGCAGGACCACCATATGGCGGGAATAACAGTGAGGTTATCCGAGCAACAATGCTGCAAGGGACCGCCATGAAGTGCGACTTCGGCAAGCTACCCACCGAGGGTTTCAGGGAAAAGACAGTCAGATCGGACACGTGGGTTGAGGTGGACCCGGAGATAGGGTTCGCTTTCGCAACCCAGCTGATGCAACGAAGTACAATTACAAGCGGATACCAACCGACCAGTCCTTCGGTTATGACATAAATATCTTTCGCGTGTTATCCACCGAAACTGTGGTGACGGTCCAGTGGCAGGATTTGAGCGTCACGACCGAGGCCGCTACCTCTCTGCACAAGTTCAATGGTGGTGGTGATGATGAGGTCTGGCCTGGAAATCTTGTTGTGTTGAGCGAAAGCCTCCAGACTATCCGCACATCTTGTTGCCGCAGTGAGTCCCGTCGCGCTCGAAAAGTTGGCGTAGTACAGGCTGTGGACAGCGGAGAAAGAGTAGCATCCGTTCGCTGGTACAAAGATCCAGACATCGAGCTGCTGCATAATGGGAACATGCTGAAACCGGGTTCCAGATTGGGTGAACTGGGTGATACCGTTACTCAAGTTTCCGTCTATGAGTTAAGCTTGTTTCCGGGTTTAGGAAAAGCATTGGATGACCTAGTGCTCCTGGTTCCAGAAAAGGTCCATCGGTCGGTCTTTCCACCAACACCTCGCGATCCGCCCGCGGTCACTGGGCCTTCCCTGTACAGCTTTCTCTTTCCGATGAACTTCTTCGAGATGTCCATGTATCTTGAATCTATGAAGCTGGCACTCTTCAAGTCGGAAGCGTTCAAAAATGGAATCACGATCGATTCTTCCCCTCTACCTTCCCGCTATGTTGTTCATCACGATGTGTACAACGGACAGTCCCCGTGTGACTTCCTTGGTAGGATCGTCTCAGTGGACATCGAGGGCAACATTACCGTTCGACAAGTCGGTCGCAACAGCTGTCGTGATGTTTGCGTTCCTTTGGAGAGAATACTCATGGTGATTGATGACGATTACGATGTGCCCCCTTTGCCCCTTCCACCGCTTGACATGTTCGGCTTACCGGGCTTCTCCCCCTGGATGTCAAATCCCTTCATGTTCGACCGAACATATGAATATGAAGGTGGCGAGCGACTTGATGATGACAGCAACGATGAAGAATGGTTGACGGAAGATGACTTCGAGGCGGATAACGATTCCGATGATGAGGATGGCTTTGATGATGGCTCGCGCCATGTGATTGGCGTGGAGGAATCCGCGGCACCGAACCTAGCTGAGATCAATATCACTGCTGAAATGGTTGAGGACCAGGAAGAAAAGTTGGAGGCATCCAAAGCAGATGATCAGTCCAATGGATCTATCGCACAATCATCTCCTTCATCATCCACGTGCCCTCCAGGCTTCTCGGTTCTGGAGAGTGATCCTCCCTCTGACCACCATTTCATATCAGCATCCTCGCGTGGAAAATCGGGTCTCCGGATGAGTCGTATACGGAAGGAATATGAGATTCTTGAGACATCGCTGCCTCCTGGTATCTATGTTCGGAGCTGGGAATCTAGAATAGACCTCCTACGAGTCTTGATCATTGGTCCTCAGGGAACGCCATACGAGTATGCTCCGTTTGTGATTGATTTCCAATTCCCTGAAGATTACCCCAACAAGCCCCCTACTTCCTTCTTCCACTCCTGGACCAATGGGCAGGGTAGGGTCAATCCCAACTTGTACGAGGACGGTCGAATCTGTCTTAGCATATTAGGTACTTGGCCAACAAAGAACCCGGAGGAAAGCTGGTCGCCCATTAAGTCCACTGCCTTGCAGATCCTGGTCTCCATCATGGGCCTTGTGCTGGTCAAGAACCCATTCTACAGTAAGTATATTCTCGGGTATCTAGAAGTTCAGAGTCACTCAAATATCTCACAGACGAGGCTGGCTATGACGTCCTTGCTGTGGACGACAACCGTCGCGTCGAGTCCTCACAATACACAGAAAAGGCATTCTTGATGACACGAAACTTTATCAAGCATGCGCTTCAGCATCCAGTCGCTGGCTTAGAAGACGTTTTGACTTGGAACTATTTGAAATCTGGGCAGAAAGACGATGCATCTAGTCGCCCGCATTTACTACGCAGGGCTATTGACTCGGCCGTCGGAATGATTGAGCATCACAATAACACCTCTGCTACCGACAAATTTGACGAGGAGAACGCCGCGGCTCCGTTTGTTTCCCGTCTTAGTCTTGGAGCCGTAGTAATGCTGAGGAAGCACGTCACTGATCTGGAGAAAATTGAATCGACAATCACTGCCAACAATTCTTCTTAAGAAACACGCTCCGCTTCATTCTCGAGGCCGCATTGACATCCAACGTCCTTTCCTCACTATCAAGCAAGCCTGGGCACTAAGTAGTCCGTAGCCAGACTGCTATGCTCTTGATTTCGACTAACATTGTTTGGCCTCAGCTGATGGAGATATGCTCGACAAGGAGAACAGTCATGTCTTATTGTTCGGAGTACATAGACCAAAGTATTGCAAGGGCTATCCGAGTACAATGAAGGAAAGAAACACAGAACAAAGGGAACAGCTGTCTCGTCGATCAGTAGATCAGGATCTTCTACCCATTTAAAGAGTAAGGCAACGTAGACAACCACTTATTGACTACATACCTCCCAAAATGCATACGCGAAATTCATCGAGGTCTCAGACAACCCAACTCTGTTCTATGTTACAATCAATTAAAGAGCCCCATTAATTGGATGATAGGGCGTTGTGTTGTGGGAGTATACACTGCGGTGTTGGTCTTTGGCGTGTTCCGTTCGTCTTCATCTTCTCTCCCTCTCCTCCGTCATCTGTGTCCATCCTCTTCTGCTCCACGGTTCTTCTCGCTCCCGTTCCATCGGTGCTGCTGGCAGTATCTCCAATTTTCGGGAGAAATTGCGTTATCCCTGTTTGTTTTCCATCGAAGAAGTAGCCCTCTGATTTCTGTCGTTTACCAACTCATCGCTCGCGGACCGCGTCGTCGTCTGCTGCCCATAAAATATGGGAACTTATCGCTTGGGTAAGCTTTTTCTCCATCTATAAATTGCTTCGTGATTTATTCCTTCATCAATTGAGAGATTTCGACAACTATTTTTTCCTTTTTAAATGTTGTCAACAATTGCCTGTATTCTTGCCTGACTTGGGTTGCTCATGGCGGTCATACGTCAACCATACACAACAGAGCTGCAAGTGTGGATAATCATCGTGCTTCTCTTCATCAATCTTGCACCCATCCGTTGTTTTTATCAAGCACCTCCTGTGTCGATCTTACCACTCGATCGTCAATCCCAGTCCCGAGTTTTTTCACCTTCGGAAATCAAACAAACGCACTAACATCAACCAGACGCCGCCTCAACCGGCCGAGCTGGCTGCCAGAACAAAGAATGCAAAGAGGAAAAGGTCAAAATCGGCAAAGGCGAGCTTCGTCTCGGTACCTGGGTCGACACCGAAAAATTCCAGAGTTTCTTCTGGAGACACTGGTAAGTTATTACCTACCTCTTAGACTCGGAATATCACTGACACCCTACCAGGGGATGCGTCACGCCTAAGATCATCGCCAACCTCAATGAAGCCGTTGAGGAAGCGAGCGGTGACTCGAAGGATCTGGACGCTATCGACGGCTTCGAGGAACTACCTTCGGGGTATCAGGAGAAGGTCCGTAAGGCTCTGGAGCAGGGACATGTTGACGACGAGGATTGGAAGGGGGTAGGCTTTTGCACGCATTCTATCGATTTCCACATGATACTAATAGGGCTTAGGATCCCGAGATGAACCGCCCTGGCATGACGGGCTTCCGCAAGCGTGCCCCGAAGAAGAAGAAGACTGACGAGGAAGAGGTACTTGCTCCGCGAGAACACATTCTACGTGTATAGCTAAGACTATCACAGGCGGAAACCGCATCCGAGAAGGAGGAGAAGTCTCCCAAGTCGAAGAAACGCGGCCGTGCTCAGACAGATACGGACAAGCCCGAGAAGAAGCCTACCGCGCCCAAGGCCAAAAGAGCCAAGGGCAGCCGCGCCAAGCAAGAGAGCGACACCGAGGGCGACGACGACCAGAAACAGGAATCTGACGAGGAGGAGGTTCAGCCCAAGCCAACTGTGACCAGAAGAGGCCGGGTTTCCAAAGCTGCCGCTGAGGAGAAAGCGCCCAAGGCGTCTGAGAAGCCGGCTGCGAAGCGTCAGAAGAAGTCAGCGGGCAAGGATGGTGATGAGGCCGAGCCCGCTGAGGAGAAATCCAAGCGTGGTCGCAGAAAGAAGTCGACTTAGGTTGAAGCTCATGCTGTTTGAGCATTTCACGCTTAGCGGATTGTTGCAGGAAGACTTGCAGGGTATCGCAGCATTATTAGGGGGTACTGTAGTGGGCCTATCTGGTGTTTCCTATGTAGCATTTCTTTATGAAAAGAATGGTAATGCAGGGCTAGTTACCTAGCCATCTATGTATGAATATTAATCCCATGTTACTTTAGGCTCCCACTTCATTCAGTTCGAGATATCCAGGCCAAGGATTTTGACTCTACTACGCTTAGCACTTAGAGGAGCAGGCACAAAATGAGGTGGCCGAATCTCTCAATTTCCTAGATAAGGATCATTCTCATCATATCAACAAGCTGCTAAATGCGCCAAGAGATTAGACGCATATACAACCTAGCAGGTTCACATTCTCCCATCAATCTGAACAACAGAGGCGCACGCGAGAGCGGAGTGCTTCAAGGAGAAGTCTTCAAGGAGTGAGATCTGAATATAGAAGCAAGCCACGTGGTACGCCAGTAAGATTAAAAGTGGTAAAGCAGATGGTTACTCAAACCACAAACCGGCCCACCTCGGTAGAAGCAAAGAGTGACTATCAGATATGAGCGAAACGATATGTTCAGTCTGGTTGCAAAGCTGGCAATCTGAATGGGTTACTTGCTGTTCGATGCATCGGGGCACGGTCCCATTCGATCCATCGTGGCCGATGTGTCCTTGGACAATTTGAGCGCTCGATCACTGCGGGCTATACCGAAAAGATTGTCAGTTGACAAGTAAGTGCACAGAGCAGGAGAACTTACTCGAGTCCCTCCAGATCATCCATGTGGTTACACATCGCAACAAACACATCAAAGTAGAATTTATGGCCCATCTCCATGTCAAATTGCATGGTTCCGCTGCTCTTGAAGATATGACGGGCGCGAATGATCATCGCTAAGTAATGAGCGCGCAGTCGAGACTCAGAGTCCGGCGTGTTGTCATAGGCATACCGGGCGGATCGCAGGATCACGTCGATAGGTATACCCCTCTGAAAACCTTGCTTGCGAAGAGCAAGGCTTTTGAGTGACTCCAAGCCGTATCTCTCAGCCGCGCAGTACACAGCAGTGTCCCGGAGGACTACACCGTTGATGGCAGAAAGAAAGACTGTCGCTGCGCTTGATTTGCGACTGTTGATATCAGAGGTGTCCTGGAAACCTTCGAGTGTAAATGATCTTTGGCTCTTGTCATGCACGAGGCGCGGGGTATAGTCGCCCTTGTACAGGAACTCGAGGACACAAGACAGGATTTCTGGCTCTCTGGCAGTATGTCAGTAAGCTGAAAAGAAGGCAAAAGGGAATCTTGACACTCACTCGTCGGGCAAGCCTAGAACCTTGTCCATATTATCACCTACAAACTGGTCCTTTAGCACAGGATGGAAGAAAGGGGAACGGGATAGGACATCCTCATGAGCTACGAAGCATCGCTGATCATCCCTGCCCACAATCAATGTAACTATAGGACTTGCGAGAGGACTGCCTTTCGATAGTCAGTATCGGTTTCGAGGATGCAATTATATTTCCGGAGAGAGGTTGACTCAATTCACAAGGCTTATATAGCTGAAAGATGGCAAGGCGAAAGCGCGAAAGGCCACTTACGCTTTTGTGGATTGGCTCTTTGGGCTCTCTTTCCTCTGCTTCTTCACCTGCGAATGTCCCTTGTACATCCTTTTGAATGACTTGAAGGACTTTTCCACTCGGTCCCGCGAAACGAATGAACGTTTGGAAGTCATGGTGTTATGATTATCATCCAACAACTTCAGCAGAAAAGAGACCAGAGACAACCAGGTGAGAACACAAGCGAGCGACAGAAGGAACCTGCACAATGGAAAAGACTGGACGAACTTGTCGATAAAAAGAAGCGACGCTGCCGAATCATGCAGGCTGCATGTGGGGAGTCCTGGAAGCTGTTCCAAGAAGTGTATCTTCTCGTGGCTGTGGGTCTTCATTAAGAAGACCATACTAGAAGAACACCGTCTTGAGACAAGCTTGGCATACGAGAATCCAAGTCAGATCCACGTAGCACGATAGCCGACTCTAGGGAGCGTGGGGAAAGAGAAAGAGAGGAGAACAGGAAATGAAGTTCAAGTGGAAGCGCCGAGTGACCAGCGACGGAATCATGTGATGAGATTAGTAGCTGACAAGGATGCCTATCAGAATTAAGACCAAGATCAGGCAGACGAGCTCGGAGTCATCCATCTATGAAGCTTTGATCTATCTAAACATGACTCACATAGTATCCTTGAATGACTCAAAGCACCTCGAGCGTGCTCTTATCTGAAGGCACACAGTACTCTGGAATCGTTGCCTTTACCTGGATATTGTCTTTGTCTAAGGCTTTAAAGTAGCGTGAGGACTCGCAGTCTGTAGATATGACACTACGTGCTTCTCCTAGGCCAGAATCCCGCGTAGATCTACAGTACTATGATACCTTGCCCTGACAGAAGGATCGATATCGCCCCTATGGTCATGACAGGATGGGAGATGCATCTCAACCAACATGATTCCAAGGCATTTTCGCAGGAACGACACCATACACTCGTACACTTAGGGAGGATCTCCAGTCGTAAGTGATCATAGTCCGATATATTATGCCTCAAAGGGAAACTCGATTAGGACCAGGATCTTCGTCAACTCGATGAAATCGTGGACCGTGGCTGCATAGGTACCTTTAGGTAGCTTACCTTTACCCCACGATTAGCTAAGGACCTATCAGGTCGGGAGGTGATAGAATATGTGGCTGGTATCCACTATTCTGGTTATTGTGGCTGTGCAACGGGCAGAAGCTGAGTGGCTGATGAGGCTTCTTTCACATGATTGATCATGGATGCCTTGGGCATGATATCATCGTGTGAAAGCAACTTGACAGTGAGATCCAGTTCCTGAATAAGCTTGTAGTTACAAGGAACTTTGATGTTTGGGCCTCCCCCCTACTAACGATTCAAAAGGATCCTCTGAGGACTCTACATTTTGGATAATATTCATTGCTGGGGCGTTTAACTCA